GTTAGCTACAACAGTCCTGGTACAGACACCTGAGCTAACATTAGCTACAACAGTCCTGGTACAGACACCGGAGCTAACATTAGCTACAACAGTCCTGGTACAGACACCTGAGCTAACATTAGCTGCAACAGTCCTGGTACAGACACCAGAGCTAACCTTAGCTACAACAGTCCTGGTACAGACACCAGAGCTAACCTTAGCTACAACAGTCCTGGTACAGACACCTGAGCTAACATTAGCTACAACAGTCCTGGTACAGACCCCAGAGCTAACATTAGCTACAACAGCCCTGGTACAGACACCAGAGCTAACGTTAGCTACAACAGTCCTGGTACAGACCCCAGAGCTAACATTAGCTACAACAGCCCTGGTACAGACACCAGAGCTAACGTTAGCTACAACAGTCCTGGTACAGACACCTGAGCTAACATTAGCTGCAACAGTCCTGGTACAGACACCAGAGCTAACCTTAGCTACAACAGTCCTGGTACAGACACCTGCGCTAATGTTGGCTACGACAGTCCTGGTAAAGACAAATGTGAAGCCAGCCCACAATAGGCCAGATGACTGGGTTCGGAACCAAATGCTAAGTGCTCGTTAACTAACCTGAGTGTCTGTTCATTAATTCAGTCCTTATTAAAAATGAATTTAAATTGAAAATCTGAATGTCAAGTTTTGCTGTTTTGAGATTTGCCAAAGCTGAAATGGCTGTAGCCCATCTAGTTCTTATGTGTCTCGTACGTTTCACGCTATAATCAAAAGAAATGATCATAGTCCAGTGATTGGCAGCTGTTTGTGTTGTAAGGAAAACAGATGTGCCTTCACCTAAACATGTTTGCTTTTTTTGGTCCTGCTCTTTTCCAGCAGAACGACAGATCTCCTGCTCTGTGCAGGAAGAGCAGTGGGTGGACCAGATCACTGGGCAGACAGAACCAGTACAGAGTAAACCACAGGTGACAGTTTCCATTCCCCTGCAGAAGTTTTGTTGGATATAAAATACTGACGAGGAGGCTTCCTCCAAGCCTCAGCAGCAGGACACTCAGTATGATAATAATGGAATGAAACGCCCTCAGCTTGGACGGGTCAACCTGCTGCCTTTCTCCTCCTCTGTCTGCAGGCCCTGGACGGTTCAGAACACGGAGAACAGAGATGCAGCAGAAGGAGACGGCGGCGCAGGAGCTGCCTATGATGATTACGGACAGGAAACAAAAAACATGAACTGTTAGATAAAGGCTGCTGCTTCCCAGAATGCACAGCAGCCAGACACAGGCCACTGTGATGTTTCTGAGTCGAACCCCCTTCCCCTTCTTCAACCCCAGGTACGTGATGGGGTGGACGACTGCCAGGTAGTGCTCCACGCAGGTGACGGTGTGGAAATACAAAGTTCCAGTTAAGTTGAAGCCATAAAATAGGAGTCCCACAGTCACCAGGTCTCGGTTGTTGGTGTGAATGCCACAGCTGGTGAGGATAATCCCAAAGACGTTCAGCAACTCTATGATGGATGTGTGAAAGGCAAACATGTCAGAGTGACTGGCCAACTGTTGCCGGCGTCGTCGGCAACCAAGGTAGAGGATCAGGAAATTGAGAGGTAGAAGCATAAAGATGGATTTGACCATCACGATGACGTTGGTCAAAACACCGTCTCTTGAAAGCCAACATTTAAGAACGTTGTATATAAATATATACTGTCTGTAGGAGGGATGAGGAAGAGGAAGGGGAGAGGAGGAGTTAGTGGAGAAAGAGGAGTTGACTGACATGTCTGTGGGCGAGAGAGACGGAGAGAAGAGGAGAAACAAAATCAATGATCTGAAAAAGCCAATTGAAATCTATTTTATCACAGGGTTAATAATGAGACACTTGTTAATCTGAAAACCATACAATTCCTTATTCGGAGAGGAAGTCAGTGGGATGTTTCAACATATATGTTTAGATGTAATAGGTAAAAATTCAAATTTGAATTTTTACTAATAAATAAATAAATAATAACTAATCAAATCATAAAAGATACAAACAGAAGTTAACAACGTTTTTGTAGCTCTCTAACACAGGTCACCATAGAATGAGCTGTGGAAAAAGGCAAGAACTATTAATATAGAAATAACATTAAAATAATGATTATGTCTGTTGCCACATTTTATCATTTATACATTTTTAAAAAATAATTTTAAAAAGAAAAATGAATTTAATAAAAAATGACAAATCAATTTTATGACGTTCTGAGCTTATAAGAACAAACACTCACCTTCGCCGGCTGTGGTCCGGCTGAGTGTGTGTGTGTGTGTGTGTGTGTGTGTGTGTGTGTGTCAACTGTATATGTAGCTCTTGTTTTGCATGTTGTGTCAACAGAATAAACTTTCCTCAATAGCTTTGCATTGTTTCCTATTTATGGCACTTAGCTGTAGAACACAGAGGTGGAAACATAAACAAGGCAAAGAATCAGAAGTGAAATCAGAAGATCATTTATTTTGTCATTTTTATTATTATCATTTAAATAAGCAATAGTAATAACTGCTGGCACAATGCTAACATGCTACCTGCTAGCCCACTGCTCGCATGCCATTTCTACGGTTAGTGCTAATTCTCCACTAAAATGCTGCTTTATATGAGGCGCTAGTCTTATTTTGACAATTCTTTTATGTCTAGTGGACAATCATCATCATCATTACCACAACAGAGGCTTTGTTACTGGTTTATCTGACCCTGGGCGTCTCGGCAGGCCAGAACTCCTGCTCTGTGCAGGAAGAGCAGAGGTAAGACCAGATCACTGGGCAGACAGAACCAGTACAGAGACAACCACAGGTAACAGTTTTCCACAGCCCCCATGACATTTGAACTGTATAAGATATTAATGACAATATTCCCTCCAAACCTGAAGAGCATGACGCTAAGTATGATCAGAATAGTGTAAAACGCTCGGTGCTTCGACTGCTGTCCTTGCTGCCGACCCCCGACCCTTTTTGCTGGCCCTGGACGGTTCAGAACACAAAGAACAGAGACACAGAAAAAAGAAATAAGGAGGCTGAAAAAGCCTACAAAGACGATGGAAAGGAATGAAAAGAGGGCCACGGTCAGGTACACACTGCAGCATCCGCCAATGCTTATCAGCCAAGCTGAACCCAGGGTGACCTTTCTAAGTCGGACTCCCTTGGCTTTCTTCATGCCCAGATACGTGATGGGATGGACCACGGCCAGGTAGCGCTCCACACTGGTCAGGGTGTGGAAACACATCGTTCCAAGTAGGTTAAGGCTGTAGAACACGTCTCCAACCAGTACAAGTTCCATTGTGTTTGTGTTGATGCCACAGCAGATGAGTATGGACCCAAAGACATTTATCAGGTCAATGACAGATGTGTGGACGGCGAGGATGTCTGAATGGATCGCCAACTGTTGCCACGGCCGCCGGTAACTCAGGTAGAGAACAAGGACGTTGACAGGAAGGATGATGAGGCCGCACAGCATCATGATAATAACATTGGATATACGTCCTCCAGGAGATATCAGGCAGTAAATGTTTTGAATTATGACAATGTTCTCAAAGGAGAAGTGGGGATCTTTGAAAGTTGGAATGGAGGTGTTAGAGGAGGTGGAGGAGTTGGGCCACATCACTAGAGGATTTAAAGAGGAAAGATGGAAGAGAGAACGGATTCAATCAAGTGTAAAAAGCAGAATAAACATACGGAAAGTGTAATGTGAATGTGTTTGCTGATGACATGTTTATCTTACATTAACCGAGAAACTGTCACCTATTTAATTTTAGCCGATTAACAAGAGTGTCCTGTATGGAGACCACTGAGACAGATTATAACAAAAATAAAAACAATACCACATAACAGCAATAACAGTGTGTTTACGAATAACAAGTTCTAGCTTCTGAAATCAGACCCACCTCATCAGGCTGTGTGATCCCTCAGTGTGTGTACGTTTGAGTGTGAACATTTAGATTGTATAATGCTAATGTTTTGCATGTTATATAACAATAAAAAAAAATCCTGCATTACTTTGCATCCATTTATACTGGTGGCAGAAAAAACACTGATGTGCAAACAATGGTCGACTCGAAAACACATCAGAGGATTTGAATTTCTTAGTAAAACAACCTGGGAGCATTTTCTGCTGGTAGCACGTGGCACAAATAGGCAAGAATGGAAATAAACAAATGAAGTAAAACAAATCCAAACTGAAAGATTAATTAAACACATTAGCTTAAATTACGTCAATATGCCTTTCATTAGCTCAGATACAGAAATAGGCTAAATGTTTTGGACACATGTAGCTTTTCCTGACTTATTGCCCCTTCCTCATAAAAATGATGCTCTCTCGCTGACATTGCCAGCATGTGTTTGTAGTTGTAACCTGTGCTTGGTAATGACGTTAGTGTGAGAAGGTATTTGAATGATACCATTGGCTGAACCATGTTTATCTACATAAGATCAAAACACAGGGTTGGCTTAGGCTGATTGGTTTTCTGGTCCTGTGCAGAAAGAGCAGAGAAAGAACCAGAACATTTATCATCCCACAGTCGTTATGAGCAGCCACAGACATGCTGTCAGACACAAGGAGGCTCAGAGCCCACAGACCTGAAGAAGCCGCTATGGTGGGAACTGTTATCGTTTTTGAGGGGTCGACCCTGTATCTACCCCTGGGCTTGGACGAGTATGTAGCTGATGCATCCCATCGGGGCAAAACTCTCTGACACCACCAAGTGGTAGGTGAAGAGGTTGGCCGGGCAGTCAATGGCGAGTCAACCACTGCAGGAAAACTATTTTAGATTGTGTTTAATTGTGTATAATCTTGTTCTTTGTCAATTCTTGCCCACAATTACAAACATTATTGATCCACGTCACAGATAATGTAAATAATGTTGAGGATCACTGACACCTGGTGGCCTGTACATGTACCTAAACCTGAAGACATTTGTCGACCTTTGGAATGTAAACAAAAGAATGTACCTGAAGTCCAACCTCCAACTAAATCATTATTCATGGATCCTGTATTGTATTGGTTGAACAGAATAAGTAGGTGGAGCTGGAGCATGGTCTGACATGTCTCCGAAAGGGAAAATGTGTTTTTCCAACTGCGACATAAATGCAACACCAGGTAAGACATGAAAACTCTTGTTCCTAAATTGACTGACTTTATTTATTTAACTCCTCACAATATCAAAGCAACTATTTTTGGTTCTGTTTTGAACTTTTTTGATCTGGAAATCCAAATTTCCAGCTCATAAAGAGTTGTGTATACTTAAGCCACAGTCTGATTATGAATGCTAATCTGTAGCAAATAAAAATGTGTAGCATAGACTTTTCCTAGAATCCATTTTACTGCATAAAACCTATGAATCACCCAATATCAAAGTTAACTAAAAGTGTGTCATTTAAGCTCCTTTAGTTGGTTTGTAACTGTAGTGTTCGTCCCAGGCCTGGGCAAACTAAGGCCCCAGGGGCGGAATGTGGACCGTTCAGCTTTGTAATCTGGCCTGCCAAATTTGTCCAAATTATATAACTGGTTTGTACTGTGATTATATTTCTGCCTTTTCCCTGCAATGCCCTTGTTTTCCCTATAGATGGTGTAGAGAAGGCTAAAAGTATTTTAGCATTTTAGCCTTTATGCATGTCATTTTTCTTAGTTCACATCCACACTGCATCTATCTGCTCCTGACCCGGCCTCCCTGTCAAATTTTAGGACCAAAAGTTTGCTAACCCTCCCCTGGTTTATCCACTGCTGCCCCCACCAGCTTATAGACTCCTTCATCTCTACACTGAAATCAGACATTTTCACAGTGGGGCTTGGTGTGAAGTTGTAAAGGTTTTTATGATACGTTGGTCAGATCTGTTGGAATAACCACGTTGTTGAATTTCTTGTAGTGAATTGGACTCATCTGAATTCTGGCTCTAACAGAGGGATGATCTCTTGGCTCCTGCAGCTCTTCATTCTGATCTTCTCACAACACTCTTCTTTATGTGGTAAGTTCACATTTTCACTTTTTTGGTTGATAGTGTTGTCATTGGTACAAAATGTCCATCTGTCTCTTCTGACCTTCTGCATTCTCAACAGATCCCCGCACATTTGAAGTGAGCGTGTCTCAGAGCTCCTACCAGGAGAAGGAGAATGACAACGTCACTTTGGAATGGACATTCACTACCAGCACCAACACCTCCTCCAATCCCCTTTACGTCCTCTGTAAACTGATCACACATCATAAAGGTGCCATCCTCTATCAGCTACATGAGAGTATGGAGATCCCAGAGTCTCAGGGGCAGCAGTTCTCAGGACGAGTCCACTGTGACAAAGACGTTCTTGGTGAAGGACGGATCAGGCTTCACCTGTCCAGACTCAGGACTGAAGACGCTGGTTGGTACGTGTGTAGCGTTTGGACAAATTATGGCAGCAGTTCTAAAGAATGCGAACTCGTCGTCAGTGGTGAGTTGACTCAGCAAAAGTCCACAGGAATGTCTGCTGTAATTTGTTTATTCAGGGTTTTGACCATTTCTCTGCAGAAGCTGAGAGGGACGTTAAACCCAAAAAACTACCTTTGGAACCAGATCCTTGGCTCCGGAAGAGACTGGGCCTCATCTTTTCTCTGGGTTTGGTTATAGCAGCCGCTGGTCTGATGGTCGTCTGTAGTTTTGGTTTAACCAAATCCAAGACTAAGTTGTCAGTCACAGTTTGACACACAGGAAAGTGTGTCAAATACAGATGATCAATTCCTGTTATATACAGATGATCAATGACTGTTATATACAGATGATCAATTCCTGTTATATACAGATGATCAATGACTGTTATATACAGATGATCAATGACTGTTATATACAGATGATCAATGACTGTTATATACAGATGATCAATGACTGTTATATACAGATGATCAATGACTGTTATATACAGATGATCAATTCCTGTTATATACAGATGATCAATTCCTGTTATATACAGATGATCAATGACTGTTATATACAGATGATCAATGACTGTTATATACAGATGATCAATGACTGTTATATACAGATGATCAATGACTGTTATATACAGATGATCAATTCCTGTTATATACAGATGATCAATGACTGTTATATACAGATGATCAATGACTGTTATATACAGATGATCAATTCCTGTTATATACAGATGATCAATGACTGTTATATACAGATGATCAATGACTGTTATATACAGATGATCAATGACTGTTATATACAGATGATCAATTCCTGTTATATACAGATGATCAATGACTGTTATATACAGATGATCAATGACTGTTATATACAGATGATCAATTCCTGTTATATACAGATGATCAATGACTGTTATATACAGATGATCAATGACTGTTATATACAGATGATCAATGACTGTTATATACAGATGATCAATGACTGTTATATACAGATGATCAATTCCTGTTATATACAGATGATCAATTCCTGTTATATACAGATGATCAATTCCTGTTATATACAGATGATCAATGACTGTTATATACAGATGATCAATTCCTGTTATATACAGATGATCAATGACTGTTATATACAGATGATCAATTCCTGTTATATACAGATGATCAATGACTGTTATATACAGATGATCAATGACTGTTATATACAGATGATCAATGACTGTTTTATACAGATGATCAATGACTGTTTTATACAGATGATCAATGACTGTTTTATACAGATGATCAATGACTGTATATACAGATGATCAATGACTGTATATGCAAATGGCCAATTCATGTATACACACATTAGAAATGACTGCATATGCACTACATATGTTATTTCTTGAACAAAGGTAACAGATTATCAACTGCACAGTACAGTACATACAAATGATACATTACTGCAGATACAAACTATTGATGTCTGTGCAGTTTTACAGATGATCAATGACTGTATGTGCAGATGAGCAGCAACAGCAAATGTAGATGTCTAATTTACAGTTGATATCTGAGACATAGGATGAAGAAAGCAATGATTTTTAGATTCAATTGCTAATGATAATATTCACAAATGCGGGTGATCAGTGAATACTCACCTGTTATACACCTGTTATACACCTGTTGTGTATAACTGATTATTTACTCAAAATGCAAAGTCTCTTGACTCTGTGAAAACAAACAACCATAAACTTTGAAGTACAAAGTAGATAAACTTGATCTGTACCCAGGCAACACATACCTGACTGTGACACAGGGTTCAATTTTCTGTCATTATGTCCTGCCAAGAATCGTTTTTGTTTCCCTTACGTGTTGCCCAGCCAGTCTTATGACTGATTAACAAGAACAAGGAATCTACCTTAGGTTTCACCTTCTTTTCAATTCAGTTTCCATTTTGTCCATCACCCTGAATTTAACCAGTAAAGGAACTAATGTTCTCCTCGTGTTCAGCAGTAAATCCTCCCCAGACCTCCAGCTCTGGTTCACCAGTGAACCCTCTTCTTTTACCAGACTGCAGGCCCCTGTCCCTGCCACTGATGTTCAAACAGTGGAGTTTGGTCCTACTGGGAACCAAAGATGTTTTAGATTTTAAATCTTTGAAAGGCCGACTTTAATGGTTATAGCCTGCTTCTAGCTACTGTATTATGACTGTTACTGCCAGCATAATGGAATGACTACTGATCAAATATAAGACTTCTTCAGTTCTGCTTTACAACTGATGAAGCAACCTGGATGTGATGTATAACATTTCCAGAAACAAACCTTGTCTGCTGACACACTCCTGAACTTCTTAGTGTAAACTGATCTGGATGACTGTGATCCCACACAGATGGGGGACAGCTTTATAGGGTAAACAACTACAGCTTTCATTTAGCTAGTATGCTGCTTGCTGCTTTTCTATTTGATGATTTTTATGTTTGTGTAAAATGTCACTGTCCCTGTCGAGGTGTTGCTATGTAAACCCTTCTGTTTATCCAGTTATTTTTTTCACTTTTTTGCCAAATGTTTTTTTTTTTCATGTTAACCCGTCAAGCTGTCCACTGACATATATACCGTATACTGTATGTCCAGCTAATCTAGGTATGGGCAAACTACGGCCCCGGGAGGCGAATGTGGCCCATTTGGCCTTTTAATTCAGCCTACCAAAGTTCTCCAAATTGTGTTATTAATTTATATTAGTATTGTATTTCTGCCTTTTCCCTGTAGAGCCTGCATTTCCCCAACAGATGACGTAGAAAAGGCTAAAAACATTTTAGCTCTTTTGCATGACTTCTAAACCTGCCACCTATCTGCTCCTGATCTGGCCCCTCTGTCAAATCTTATGACCAATTGTGGCCCAAGAGTCGAAAAGTTTGTCCACGCCTGGACTAACCCTTTGTTTTCAAAGTTTTCCCTTTTTTTTTATTTGGAGCCATTTTTAATTACTACTTCTAATTAACTGTTTATTGAAAATTATTTTATAATCCTGGTGATTTGACCTTCAACCTTTTTGCATCTTTGTGGCTAACTATAGGTGATTCCTGGGATACTTTCAAACTGCCTTTTAATGACAGATCAATACACTTTAATTTGTGAGATGGGACAAAGTTATTTCTGTCAAATGGCCTTTTTTCCTGTTAAACACTCCCACAGTTATTATAAAACACAGGGAAGTATGTGTCTTGGTTAGTCTGATGACACCCTCAGATAATGTTTCACTTTGTCCTCAATAGAAGAGGTCATCAAACCAGAAAGTCGTGTCGTTCAAATGATGCTCATGATTAAAAAAAACTTCAGACATTCTTAAAGGAGATTTGGAGACATACCTGACACTCTTGCTTGACACTCACTCAGGTAATGAACGTAGTTGTCTTTAATAAATGTTTGCTTAGCATTTTGCTTGTTAATTTATTCTCAATAACTGGTAACTTGAACTAGTAAAGGGTGAAATACTAGAAAATATTTGACCAAATTTGATTTGTTTCTTGTTATAGCCTTTTTTATCCTACATTTATGTCTGATTTTTTTAAGTTTAACTGTAACCTGGCAAAGTAAAAGTAATATAAATAATAATTATATTATTCTACCTGTTGTATAGAGTATAAAATCTTTAGTTTTATTGATGCATGGTGAGTGGTGCTTTACAGCATGTCTGTGTCATTGGTGTGGAACCGTGGACCCCGAGGGTTCACCTTGTGGGAAAGATCGAATCCAGGTTAGGGCAGTTGGTCCCTTCCAGTGGACTCACCCCCTGCAGGAAGGTTCAGGGGGGTTGGTACGGTGCAGTGGGATTTGGGTGGTGGTTATAGAGACTGATGCCCCCATGACCTGGTAACAGATAAGCAGGTGAAAATGGATGGATGGATGGATGGATGGATGGATGGTGTCTGAAACACAGATATGTTTTTATCACATACATAAATATATGACATACTTAAAAAAATTGACAGCATTGCTTGTATTGTTTTAGTTGATGGTGCATTTATTTCTTTTTTGATGATGGATTTTACTTTTGTTTGAGTTGCAGAGAATTCGTTTTTCCAAAAATGTTATCAGTTCCAGTTATTAGCAGAATAAAAACCAATAAAATAGTTTAAGCCTCAGTTTAAGATGTTTTTTATTGGCACTTTTGATGGGCATCTCCGTATTCATAGTCACCCGGTTGGAATAAGTGTGTATAGACTGTATAGACTGTATAGACTGTTTACGTACAAATAAGTAAAGACATATTTTTTAAATTGAATTAGTGATTATTTTACTGCTAACAACTTTGAGGGTTATTTCTGTGACTGTTGTTTATACGCAGTTAAAGCAGCACGGAACGCACACACAAACACACACTTTGTTCATTCAAGAAATAGTCACTTCGAACGCAACTGGACAGAGTAGGTTGTTTTTTTGTTGTTGTTGTTGTTTTTTTTAAATTTGTTTCACCTCTCATCCAAGAGGTTTCTTCAGTTCACTTTGCGGTATTATTTTTGGCTACGTGCACACTCCCTCTTTTGTTATGTTGAAGTGTTGAAGTGGAGAAACTGCATTCCGTTCCATTATAGTGTGCCAGTGTTTTCCTGTAACACCACACAATTATTGATGTGACAGCTTCCTTCTGTGTCTGTGGATCAGGGCAGGACTGATACAGACTGGATGGAGTCATGTGACTCTTCACTCATATCTGCCCAGACTTCAGCTCATTATACGTTATAGGTGTTTACAGTAGGAACTCCTGTTTAATGACTGTGTCAAAAGAACAGTCCTGACTACAGACACTGTACGGTCATCATGCAACGATCAATGACTGTATATATAAATGATCAATAAGTTCATAAACCAATATTCACTTCATTTCAGATGTGTCTAAATGACCTTTGTAGTCAACCAGGTGTTATTATGCAACGTGAAATTTAGTGTCTAACTACTGGGTGGACTCTCCGACTAATTATTGCTAATTACAGACTGATTATTATGAAATTAAAAAAAAAAAGTACAACACCAGGAGTCTTCACACTTCTGGGTAAACTCACAACCTGGTGTAAACTGGAAATCTCAGAAATGTAGCAAGGTTGACTTGCAGTCAGGGCTAGATTATGAAATATGTCTCATTTGATGGTTTGATGGTTGAGGGGGAAAAATCACTAGTAAAAGTTAAAAAAAAAAGTAAAATTCAAAGACAGTATTTTTCCTACACAAATGTTTTAAATGTTAAATCCTTTTAAATCAATCAATCAATTTTTATGTATAGAGACACAGTTAAATATAAAAAGATAAAACAGTGGTAAACACCCCCTGCTCTTATAGACCCTCGCATCAGATGAGGAACAACCTCCCAAGAAAAACCTCTAGTGGGGTAAAAAACAGGAAGAAACCTCAGGGAGGGAGACAGAGGAGGGGATCTTCACCCAGGACGGGCAGGTGGGCAGTAGCAAAAACAATCTACAGACATTATTTACAGTTCCACTTTCAATATACAGACACAGATAATAGCAGCAAAGGTGGAGGCGGGAGTATGGAGGGGGTCCTGATCCAGTACAGCATCCATGGGGTCTAGGAGGGGAGGAAGCACACAGAGACTCCGAGGACCCTCGTGGTGATGTTTGACTACATGGTGATGTTAAACGGAAGGTGAAACATTTCTAATTCTCCAATTTTGGTTCTCTTCACAGGGATAAGATGTTCACCTCAATCCTGCTGTTGCTCGTCCGCATCCCCTTCATCTATGGTTTGTTTGTTTGTTTGCTTACTTTATCAAGCATCCATAAACAAAAGCCACATATCTCTGAATCGTTGGTCTCTTCCACAGGGACGTTTGTGGTAAATGTCTCACAGAGCTCCTATGAGGTGGAGGAAAACAGCAACGTGACTCTAGAGTGGAGGTTCCCACCAGACACCGTCAGCTCTACTCATGGCCTTTTCATCCTTTGTGCCATGATCAGTGGCACTGGAGATAGGAAAGGGAAAACCCTGTATCAACTCTACGCAGGAGTCGAGGAGCTGGAGTCTCAGGACCAGCAGTTCTTGGGACGTGTCCAGTGTGAAACCGGTGTCCTGCTTGAGGGACTGATGAGGCTTCATTTGTCCGGAGTCAGAACACAGGACTCGGGCTTGTACCACTGTGAGGTCAACACCCACACTGATGGGGACCACGCCCAGTGTCAAGTCAAAGTCAAAGCCAGTGACGTGGGTGAGTTCTGAGGCCGCTCTCATCTCTAAGGATCGTTCAGCTCCTGTGTTGTCCACAACCTTCTGCCCCATCAGTACATTTAGATATTTGAACCTGTCATTGTGCAGTTCCCTTTGTAAAGCTCAAAAAATTGATGTTCTTTGTGTTGTACAGAAAAGTGAAACATGTTCCTGAAGTCATTTTCTGTTCTTCATCACAGCAGCAAACCCTGCACCCACTCCTGAGGATCCCACTCTGGATTTTGGACCAGACTGTGTGAGGAGGATTGGCCTGTACCTCTCAGTACTGATAGCAGTTATCATAGTTACAGTAACATTAGTGCTGCTGTGCCTGTACTGCTGCTGCTGCTGCTGCTCCTACCAACAAAACACTGACAAATGTACCACAGACTCAGAACGATATCTGACCCATTCTGAACTCATTTCTAAACTCCATTTCCCAGAGAAAACATCCTCCTTCTTTTCTGACATACATCTTCTCTCAAATACAATCTGTCCTTTGAGCTCACACACCCCAACACCTTTATTGCTGATAAATGTCAAGAGAAATGATGGAAGAAGGATAAGGGGTATTTGAGAGACTTGTAATCATCTGTAGGGAGATTGAAGTATTTATTTCATATTGAAAGAACATAGGTCAGTCCACTGGAAGATACCAACCCTCCTAACTGGGATTCTAACTTGCCCAGGAGGTGAACCCTGGGGTTCTACACCAGTGACACAGACATGGCCTCTGGGCCAAAGCGCCACAATGCGCATACAGTACATATACATAACCATATATACATAACCATATATATACACCTGCCCATTCATACCTACCTACTGTGCTACCAGACACCTCCCTCATCCATGTACCTCTTGACAGTAATGTATCTCTTTTTAAACTGACTCATGTTTGGACAGTGCTTCAGCTCCATGGTAAAGCTGTCCCATAGTCTCACCTCACTAACTGAGACACAAAAACCCTTCCTTGTTGTGAGAATTACAGTTAAATTAAAGTTTATTTTCCCCTTTAGGTTATAACTCCCCTCATGAATACTGAATGATTTCTGGAGGCTTATTGGCAACAGACTGTTCTCAGCTGGTGGTGTTTGATAATTCACAAGGTCTGGAAATGTTAGTAATCTGGTCTGAAGAAATGGATGAATTTGTGTGTTCCTGGTAGCCGACATTGTAGGTACTGGTACTGATAATCTGGGTCAGCACTGCTCTAGAACCATGACCCTCATCTGCTCTGGGTCTTCCCCCTGTGAGTGGACTCAGGACCCGTTTCAGTGATTGTTCTGAAGTCTCAGAAAGGAGGGATCGGGTCCAGAGTCACTTCCTTTCTCTTCTGTATGTTTTAACTCTAACTTTATATTACTATGAAACATGTATTTGCACTAATTGAAATGTGAGCTGTGTTTGAAAGAGAAGGGACATCAAAACAATAAACAAAAATGGAGATGTTTTATTCAAGGTCTACCTTTACATTTACCAAAAAGTTATGGATGATTTAAGTACTGCTTTTGAATGTTCGTCTTCAAAACATTGAAGTCACAACCCCCGGCCCACAGGTGGCGATATAAGCCGCACTGCAAAGTTTTGGCCAATCAGAACTGAAGACATACATCACTTCCTGTTTTAGGATGTAAACAGTTGCCTTTGTACATATATGGACTAGCTTTACTTTAGCATCTTAAATTGACTTTTACCTGTGTTTAGAGATATTTTAAAATGTATTTTGAATCAACAGTTTAGTTTTTGAGCGCTAACTGAAGATAGTTTTTGTTTTGGTTCAGGGAATCCCAGGGTTTTTGTTTGCTATCATCTTGATTACATTTTCTCTATATTTATTATATTAATACATTGTATGTCCCTTTAATATATATTTTTTAAATGTCAAATTAGATAGGTCAAAGTTAAGCAAAATTAAAGCCATTGTCGGCTAACCTTTAGACATGTATTGATAGTTTTAGGATAAGTGCAACCATAAATAAATGTGTTTTTAATTAGCCAATAGAATATAGTCCCAACTTCTCTGCTCCTTTTCTTGCTATGATGAGGAAGACGAGGACGAGGAGTGGAAGGAGAAAGGTGACAGAGGGAGAACAGAGTTGGAGGAAGGTTCTGGAGAAACAAGGAGCTGATCACACCACGCCGGCTCATCCAGGTTAATCTCAACAAACAGGTCATGGCAGCAACCAGCTGAAAACAGAGCCAAGGAGGCAGTTAGCTGCTGAGCTTTTGGTATTTAATGTTCACAGAAAAACGAAGCAGGCGGTGGTACCGATTTGTTTTAGGATCAGTTCTTGTGTTTTGTGTGCAGACCTACTTGGGTTGTTGTTGTTCTCGTTCTGCTGCTCAGTTCCATCCAGGAACTGTTTTTCACTCTTCTCTGAGCCTGATGATTCCCTGGACAACTTTCCTTTGTCAGGGACCGGTCCGGTGTCTGAGGACGTGTCTCGTCTGTTCTCGTCAGGATGTTCCTCTGAAACCGAGCGCAGTAACCGAACAGCATGAATAATCACGTTAGCAAAGAACGTTCCTGTTTCTGTCCTGATTCTTACTTTCACTCCCGGCACCTTGGTTTGATTTGGTTGTGTTTTCTCCCATCAAGTCTTTCTCATGTGCCTGTGAACTGGTACCGTTGGCTGTTGGACCAGGGGGTTGGTCGCTGGTGCTGACTTCACCTTTCAGGGAAGGTCGATCTGAAATACACAAACGGGTAAGTTTTTTTATTTTGCTTAGATTTTCATGAAGTAACTTTGAGTTTTATTTTAGCTGCTATACGGCATTGAACCTCCTACGACTACACTTACTTTGTCTTTTGGCAAACTTTTCGTTGCTGTGCTATATTTGTTTTTGGTTTTTTTGTTTTGTTTCAGTTACACTGTTGTCTAATTTTGTTGAATTTTGTCTAACTGTGAGCAGATTCACGCAGTGGTTTGGACCAACTTTACTGGCTGTCCATGTTTCACAGATGACTTAAAAGCCCCTGTCCTCATGTGAATTTAAAGGTTGAATCCAAGGTTTTATGAGACACAAACCCATATCATCCAGGTAGACTGGTTCAAAGCTTCCAGTGTGTTGGATGAACTGATTGTTGACAGGAGCATCAAAACGACAGTCAAATGAGTAGGTCTGAAAAATGAAATGAGAAGATAAATGCAGGTTCAATATAGAAAAGCAAATAGTTAGATCTACTGTTAGCCTTCACGTGTTTTTTTTTACCCTGGAAACTCTCCTGAGATGGAAGAGAATGAAACACAGAACGCAGATCACAAATATGATGAAGACCAGGAGGATGTAGGCTGCAACAAAGACAAAGCACATGTGACGATTGTGTGAGTTTTGTGGTCCATATCTCCCGTGGGTGACATACCAATCACACCAAAACCTAAATCTTACAATAAAGAATACATTTAAGATTATTCATGATCTCAAGGTCCAGATTCTTCTGCTCCAGAATTAAATAGTTTTCTTGAGTTAGAGGTAAAAAAAAAAAAAAGAAGAAGAGAAGTTTTGAATTGAGGAGCATGTTCAGTTCTTGGATTCTCAGGAACACGCCATCGTCTGAAGGACCAGAACACAGTCACCTTTCATACAATAAATTCATATGAGAGCAAATTGTGTTCTTACCCCACACTGAATCTCCCTGGTCCTCAATATTCACTAAAGAAGCAGGACAGAAAGAGACAAGTCAACTTTTCAACATCTGAAAACAAAAAAAAAAATTTGCTTTTCTGATTAAAGTAGTGTTTGTAGTATTATAGTAGTGTTTGTAGTATCATAGTAGTGTTTGAAGTATAGGGTTAGGGTATTATATAGGGATATATGAGTGTTTCTGTGTAGATTACATCCTTTTCTAGATACTGATTTACTCTCTAATCTTCTGTTAGATGCGGGACAGCACTACCTAGAGGCTATTTCTTTTTACTGCAGCTGAATTGTGTTTAGTTCTCAATTCAAAAACAAACTGGAGAGACTGATCAACACGTAGAACAAAATGTTCGTATATTTTAAAATGATACATTTTATATATTTCAGTGGGGTGTGTTTCTTTCCCGTCTGCTGCGCCTGTTGGGCTGCAGCAGTCAGAGAGTGTGTTCTAGTTGTGGTTTGACTGACAGGAAGAACAACAACGTGTGAAGCCAGTGTTTGAACAGGAGTCGCAGTAGATGTTGTCGTCACAGACAGAGTGACAAGAAACTGACTTCGAGTGGTGTGAATGTCAAAGATCAAAGATCAGTATAAAAGTCGGACTGCTTATTTCGTTGTACCTGGTGTTGACGGTGGGCGCTCTGTCGTCACCATGGAAACTGTGGTGGCGACTCTGCCACCGTGTTCCCTTGCGTCAGATGTCAGAGTGCTGGTGCCATTGTCGTCTTCTTCTGCTGCATCAACTGTGGTCTGTGAAGACACAAACTCTTTAACCAACATGATGAGACGTTACATGGCTGATGATAAACTACAAAAGCTGTAAAAACAGTCCAAATAATTAAAAGAAAGCTAAGAAATGACCCATTGTATATACCTACAAATTAGCCAAACAACACAAAAATATATAATATATATAATAAGAGTTTTAAATGATCCAAATGAGACCGAAAACTCCTAACTGAGAAGCTCAGTGATGTTAGACATGAAACGGAAGCTAACTGAATTTGATTATTTTTTTAATTTTACTCTGGTTTCTTACATTATTCAACATCATGGACAAGTCTGTCCCATTCACTGATTCTGGGAACGTTGGAGCAGGCAGCGGTAGTTCGTTGGAGGCATTTTTGTCTGTTTCCTGTAAAGGTGGCGTAAATGAGGACAAGAGTGTCCATTCCACAGGAGCGTCTGTGTTGACAGAGAAAACAGAATATCAAACTTTGGACTGAAGGACCAAAGGACAAAAGTTTACACAGCGAAGGTGAGGAGGAGAGCGGACAGACAGAAGACACCAGAACAGTGTTGAGATGTACTACAACATGAAGGAAGAGTGTAGAACACTGAGGTACCATCTGTCCTGTTGTTTTGTGTTGATGGACTTTGGTCTTGACCTTCACAGACCCATGGAATGGCTAGAACTAAAAAAAAAGAATGAGGTTTAGGAAAAAACAAAAGTGTTAGAAACGATCCTTCGACTTCTCAGCCGGTACTTTGTCCTATCTTGGTTCTTTCTTGACACATGCAAGTGTGTGATCTGACAAGAACAGGACAAAGTACCATCTTGTCTTAATTTGAGAGGAACCTTGGTCATGATATGAGTAGACTGTTGGTTTAAATTAAGAGGATCCCTGGTCTTGGTCTTGGCCTTGGTGAAGGCCTGCTTTTGGTCTGAGTACCAGCCTGGTTTGGTTCCTAATACTAGTTTCGATTTGATTATAATCCTATCTTCAGAACCCCTGATCTTGTTTGTTGTAAAATCAGGTTTTGATTTAATCATACTTCCCAAATAAACAAACAAACAGTTTGGGGACTATATTAAAGGAGAAAGAGAAGAACCTTCTGGAACTTCTCTTGAAACTGTTCGACTAATCTCAGGAACCTTCAACAAAAAACAGTCGTGGTTGGCGTGTTTCATCTTCTTTTAGTTTATAAAAATGTACATTTCTTTGGAATTCTTCTTAATAATCATCGTCTAGAACTCACCAAGGAAGACATGACTCCACCTCAGCGTCATCGTGTTCCAGACCCTCGCTTCTCCAACTCAAAGTTAGACCTCATCTACTGTTCACTTTCTTCTTGTCGTTCTCTCTCTCTCTCTCTCTCTCTCTCTCTCTCTCTCCCTCCCTCAGTCTCTCCTCCTCCTCCTCATAATTGTTTTTTCTTAATCTCTCTCTCTCTCTCTCTCCCTCAGTACCTCCTCCTCCTCCTCATTTGCTCTCTTTTTTCTGCATCCTGTCTCTCTACCTTTGTGCAGCTGAAAACAGTATGACAGTGTTAGTGTTAGTCAAGCAGAATGATGGAAAAGCTGGTTTGGGGTTTGTTGTGATTTTATTTAGTCCTGGTCTTGGTTCTGTTTTATTTCTATTCTGGTTTCTCTTGGTCTGCAGCAGGTCTCTGTTAGTTCAGGTTCATGTCTTCACCAATCCTAGGTCTGATCCTGGTTAGGTTCATTTGTTGTGGTTTTAGTTTAGGTCCGTGTCCAGGACCAAAAAGAACCTACAGGTTAGTTCACTTTTCCCACTGGTTGATAGTTCTGACTTCAGCTATCTCAGAGCTAGACTCAGTTCTCGTCTCAGTCTACAGTAACTTCCTGTTTGTATCGTCACTAACCCTCCCCCCTCTGTGTCTCTATGTACCTTGTGCGATGATTCAATCTCTGACCACAGAACCACAGCTTCATGACAGCCCAGGATGCTGCAGTTACACTTGTACAATTCAGGCACTGTTTTAAAACCGGCTTCAGAGGAGCTGAACGTTAGATGTTTCTTCTCGTTGTCTCTTTTCTTTCACAACTAAAAAAGTTAATGTTCTGTTCTCGTGCCACAATTATCAAAGCAAATAAAGTAAAAATTCCAGAATTCTTCTTTAAACTCATTTTATTATTCTACACATTTCCATCAGATTGTATGTAGTATGTATATGTTTGTAGTCATAATGCAGTCACCTTGGAATGAGAAACTGATACAGAAACACTGATTTAAGTGCTACAATAGAGCCGAAATGTGCAAGACAAGGAGACTGTAGAGCAGACAGGGGGCGCTGTGGTGAACGGAGAGGAAGAAGTATGAGGATGGTATGGTGGAGTCACGGGTGTCCTTCCCTGTAGATGGAAAGGTCAAACATTTTAAGTTGTGTCCAGGTGTCTACATGTTACCTAAAAATGAAAATATAACCAAATCTTCTTAAAGTGACCATCCCTAAAGATAAGAAAATCTCATACAAACTATTTAAAAAAAGAAATCCCAGTGTAACCATCAACATTTGAAGACATAAAAATATGAGATAAATATATTAAAGTAGTTAAAGTAAGCCTGAAAGACAAATGTCAGACATGGGAAACTAAAGGTTTGTGAAAAGGTTGTTAAAACCGTATTGTAAATTAGGATAAATACATCAATTTAAATAGTTTAAAACAATAATAATAATGTCATCCCAGTCATATACACTATACCGCCAAGAGTATTCACTCACCTGCCTTGACTTGGCATATAAACACAGTGGCACACCATTCTTAAACCACAGGCCGGGGTGTGACATCAGTCAACCTCTATAGCTGTAACAGCACCTCCGTCTGGGAAGGCTGTCTACAGGGGATTTTTGACCATTCTTCCAAAAGCACATTTGTGAGGTCACACATACTGATGTTGGACAGAGGACCTGCCTGGGTAGAGGCCAGGACTCTGAGCAGGCCAGTCCACTCTCTAATCCGTTGTTTCCCATTGTTTCCATGTCTTTAAGGACCCTGTTTGTCATGTTGGAACAGAAAGGGGACATCTGGGACTCGACCATCGGATGCTGTCTCCACTGTTCTAGAGTCACGACTGGACTTGTTGCACCTATCACCTTGTGGCATCCTATCACAGTACCACTGTACCTGGAGTTCACTGAGCTCCTGAGAGCGACCCATTTTTTTCACAAATATTTGCAGGAACAGTGGTCATGCTTAGGTGTTTGTAGGTGTTTTATACACCTTTTATTTACCTGTGGCCATGGAAATGATTGGGAAACCTGATATCAATTATTTGGATGGGTGAGTGAATAACTTTGGCAATATAGTGTCTTGGATGATGGACATGTTTACAATTATTAAAAAAAAAAAAAAAACAATATTTATATATAGTATAGTTCAGAAAAGTCCCAAAGTTAACTAAAAGTGGTGCAAAATTATAAAATATGAATAAGAATAATAAGAATAAAATAAATGTTTATTTAACTTTTTTTCAAAAGTCAGTTAAATGATGACATTAATGTTTGTTAAAAGTAAATGAAATGTTGTGTTTAGGGTAAAGAGTTTTCATTCTTATCTTCATCCTTCACATGATGACCATCCTTTAGTTCACACTTTACCTGAAGAGAAGTTAAAGTACTGATTGTCTCCGCTGCCCTGATTGTCGTCACTCTCTAGCCATAAATCTTCATCGTCCAAGTCAATAGGTGTCTTCAACAAGCTATCAGCGACCCCTAAAGCTTTTTATAAAAAAGAATTGGAAACGGAGAAAGGATTTGTGTGTGAAATGTTTGACTCTGTAACCAGCTTGGCACCTTAGCACAAGATAGAAAGAAGTCACGTGAACATAAACATTAACTGCCATCAGTAAAAGGAATTAGAGAAATTAAGAAGCTAAGAACTAGCCATAAAACAGACAGCTATAACTAACCTTAACGCTAAGCCTTATTTAAGGTATTCAAGCATGTACAGTACATAAAAACACTTAGCAGTTAGTGGACAAATGCAACAAAGTATAGTCTGGACACAGGTATGTCTCAGCCTAAAACATGAGAAATTTATCAAAACCAATGATGGCGTTAGTCAACAGTTAGGATACAGCAGAAAATATTTTACCGTCTGTTGTTTTTTAAAACCAAAAGGCAAAAAAGGAAGGATATTATTTTATCATTGACTCAGTCAAAAAGTTGTTTACAGTAACAGGAAGTCAGTCAGCTAAGCCGTTAACATCTTCTGACTTTTTATCCAGTGCCACAGAATAAATGGATGTCTGTGTCATTCACTGCCATCTTAAAGCATTAGCGTAGCATGTGTAGCTTCACTGATGTTAACAAGTGTAGTGGAGATTCTTCCAGTCTAGGGATCATGTCATCTCATGTGTGACCTAAACCCAAAGACTTACCCAGTGACCACAGCAGCAGGAAGACCGCAATCATCATCATCAGCTTCATCATGTACTGGGAGTCTTCACCTTCTCCAGACTATCACTGATTTCCGCAGCTGTCAGCAGGTAACTTCTCTACATCTAACTCCTCAATTACTCTGCTCATTGAGACAGGAACTGTCTGAAACCACACACAGATGTCACAACGTCATCAGCTCGTCTCCTCATACAGTACAACAGTATGACAGTAAAAATTTGGCTAAAGCACAGAAAACTCTACATCTACAAAAACAACAAATAAAATCAAGGAAACAAATACAAGGGCAGTAGATTTTGCATCAGTAAAAAGAAATAGTCAAAACTCTAAAGTCAGCTGAAGATTGTCCTAAACAATAAAAGTTAATGCTAAAAGGTTAGCCCAAAAAAACAGAGGGATTTCTGCTAAAATGTGGCTTTAACCAGCAGTCAATAAAATGGCTTCAGTTCTGTTGAAGTTACTAATTCAAAAAGCTGGGCACGTGTTACATAAGTTAGCCATAAACATGACTCCCAGATGTACTGTTGAATTTGAATTACATCAGTATTAGCTTAAAGTGAGGCAACCAAGAAAAAGTTCACGTACTTCAAATCTGCCAGGTCCAAAAGATTAATCTCAACATTTGCTAAAATAGACGGAAAATAGTGGGGGCAGGTTTGATTTTATATGAACTTTAAACCTAAGAAAAAATAGCAATAGCTGCAAGATCCGATACTTGATCCGGGACCAGGGAAACTCATTTGATTCATCCCATGTCTAACATGTGTTGCAATGACAATAAAGAACCTCGAGTCCTTAAAGTATCAAGTTAGCCAGTACACTAAAATACATGGCTGATACACTAAGTATTAAAATGTGAACCTTTAGAAAAGTATATAAGAAGGGACACGGACAGAACTCTGAATAATGAAACTTTATTAGTATTTTCTTTTCTTAAAAAAAAAACAACAAAACCTTCTCACATTTAGGTTCCCTAAAGAAAAATATCAACTCACCATGTGTTAACCACCAGGTGGCGACATTGATCATTAATTCATGTTAGTTTGTTTTATTAAAGGGCAGAACATTGGGAACAAACGATGAGGTTCTGTATACAACTGAGGTGTGTCGGGATGTTATCAATAAGGGAAATTAAATATTATATCAACTGTTATTTTATGACATTAAAGCCTAAAATAAATTAAAAAGTCTGGTATAAATATCAGAAACCAAGAGGAAAACTATCCAGTGAACATTTAAAAGTTTCATTGCTGGGCTACAGTGTACTTACACACATCCATGAATATAAGGACCAAATATTCTGTTTACAATCTGTTCACACTCAACGGGTCAAGCATTAGAAATACCACTGCTGATAAACTGCTTCAGTATAGGATGTAAATCTTTGTTATATGGTTCTGGACGCTCCACCTCATTCCTTCCTTAATAACTGATTTGTGGTTCTGGTTCCTCCTCGTCAGGACAGTCCGAGGCGATGCTGTGCTCCTGAGCCACGCCTGCCAGCTCTTTCAGGAACTCTGCGTAAAGCACAATGGCAAACACTCGGCTCTTGGCATGCTGTGGGATCTGAGGGCAGGGTGGCACGACAGCAGGAGGAGGAGTCAGAACGCTCCTCACAGTACCGTTGGGAAGACGCTGCTCCAGCAGTACGTCACCAGCATGAGACTCCACTGACTCTGAGGAAGACAGGTGGAAGGTCCATTAGCAGGATCTCACTTCAGTGTCCTGAGCTTTTCACAAATGCAATAAGGTGTTGTGTATTCAAAGAACATGGAGTCAGCTGGAGGTGGGGACTCATTGAAACTCATCTACAGGTGGATGCAGGTACTGGTTCTGAGGGTGTTGTTGGATGTTCATTAACCTCTGAACTTGCTGTCCTGGTCTTTGGCCAACAAGAACCTCCAGGCCTGAGTGACCAAGGCTGGAAAGTCTGGTCTGGCTGAAACATAGCGTTCAATCTGAGCATGAACCGACAGCAACACCTGCAGAGACACAGACAGGTCCTAAGTCAGTCCTCGCCCTGGACTAAAGATTACAAACTGACTCAGGCCAGTGTGGTCTGTACCTGGTACAGTGTCCGTACGTTGGGCTGACTGTTAGCTGTGTCCGTGTCTAACAGGAAGGATCGCAGCAGAGGTTGTGGGTACGATGCCAGCTGTGCCAGGATGCCCGTCAACAATAGGTTAACAGCAATGGAGTTTTCCAGAAGGTTCTCAAGCCGGGACAACAGGACACTGATGAATGGACCTGGAATGTGTGTCAGTCAGGTTGTGTTCATCAGTCAACAATAGAAAAAAAACAGGAGCTACAAAGGTTAGTGGCTTTTCTTAATTTGTGCACACAGTGGACAACCTCTCTAGTCAAAGATGTCTTTCCCCTAGCCTAGCTTAGCCTTTACACTGGACAAGTTTCAGTGTTCCATATATGTGTCCTAAATTTAGGATACTGGGTTTGAGCCTTGGATTATTGTCTGAGGAATTCTTCATCTAAATGTGAGAACTCTAAGGAGCCAACACTCAGTGATACCTGTGGACCAGGTCTCCATTTGAATAACATGTGAACCCACCTGTCAAAGGAACCTCATGTCTCCTTATCATCTCTCCTTCTTCTTCTTCTTCTTCTTCTATCAGTGCATCTTCCTTGTCTTCATCTGAGGACCAGCTGACAAAAGCTTCTTCACCAAGACCTTCGTCCTCTTCCTCCAGTTTTTGCCGTAAAGCTCTAACCCGCCGTCTGAACGAAGAGATGTCATTGGCATTGTCATCCAAGTCTGGATCCACTCCGAGGGACAGCATGAGTTCCTGGTACTGGCACAGAAAAGTGTTTCTGGTTGAATGTAGCTCAGATTTAGCTGAGCTGTTGGATAACGCAGGGTTTAACAGTAAATGCTGACTGTTGTGATGTCCGTGCTTTTGGTATAAGAAATTATTTGATTTTATAAAGTTCCTCGGTGCAAAACTTTCCTTTAAAAACTGCTTATCTTTGCCAGCATCATCACATATGTTGATGATGTGAGCGTTTGTATCAAGGCTGACCAAAACATTGTTCTTCTCCTCCCCATCCTCCTTTTCTACATCATCGCTCCTTCGCCACATAATGTTGTTAACTGACTCCTTGACTGATTTATGTGTTTTTGTAAGCATCCTCGTAATCGTCGACGTTATCTGTTGACTATCCTGTTGACTCTGTGACATCTGCTCCAAAATGACCACTTTTGTGTCCTTCTTTGCAACAAGATCATAGACCAGAACGTCATCCTGAAACTCTGATTCCTCTACGTATGAGCCACAGACCAGCTTGATAGCATTGCGCTGCATTTCTTGGATGTGCTGCGGAGGTAGGTGAGGATGAAGTTCTTGCCCAAACGTAACCCCATTGCCATTTACTAGTGTGTGGTTTACAGTTAAAGAAGGAGCTGGATCTTCATCTGTGAAGATGTCGTCCCACTCCAGCTCCAGAGCAGAACTCGTTCTTCCTGTGTGGTTTCCTGTGGACATGGTATCAGATGAAGAGGTTGGTGTGGGGGGTGGAGTCATGACCAAAGAGCAGATGGAGTCCCTCTTCAGTCGTAGTATGATTTCTTCTTCATCTTCTGGTGGGTCAGCTAGGTATCCTTCAGGCGGAGGTTTGACCCCATCATATGGAGCAGACCAGAGTCGACAGGCCCTGAGGGAGGAATTAAAAAAACATTCCAAAAGAAGACGGAAGATGACTCTTTTGCAGCAGAATGCTTCAACATTTTTAATATTTTCAAAGAGACAAAATATCAGACAAACTAACCTTTGTGAGACGGTGATGGCCTGACGTGCATCACAAAGGTAGTGATGATAGTTGACATTGGACAGGAGGTCTGAACCTCGACAGTAACCAACACTATCTGATATTAAGTCTGAAAAGACAGGATGGTTTGTGTTAGCTCTCACAGCTGGTTAGCTCTCACAGTCTGCTCTACGTTGGAGTGGATAGTCACCTGATCCTTTTGGCCAGTGGATGTGGTCAGAGTTCAAGTCGGTGCTCTGGCTGTACGAAGGTGAAAACAGTGAAGGTATGAGAAGAAGAAAGGTGGCAGCACTGGTGGAGTAGCAGTCCCTCTGATGTAAGGTGCAGCGCTGCTTCCTGCTCAGGTGGCTGCAGGGAATCAGGTACCTGTAAACACGAGGACACTTCCTACTGAGTCTCAGCCCAGTGGTCACAGCGGAGCAGACACCTTGGTTTGACCTAACTCTGACCTGAACACAAGCTGCAGCATCACATCCTCACAGAACAGACCAATCAGAGTCCGAAACAGAGCCAGCGACACCGTACCTAACTGAAGGACACCACAGAGGAGCTGAGGTCATAGAACTGACTCAAATGTTACATCATCAGAACATCCTTTCAGCACAGACGGGTATTACCTGGAAAGGTGTGTTAACTCTGCTGACTAATGTGTCCAGGATGTGCACGTTATCATGAGTGTGCAGCAGGATGAAGGACAGGAAGGTCTGGAGGAGGGCGGGCTCTGTGATGGAGCGCAGGAACAGGTCAAGGTACGCAGTGGTGGTCATCACCTCCTCCAGCGTCAGCTTAAACAGAAACAGAAACAGTTCACCTGCAAACATCAGTGGTTTGGCAGTTTTTGAAGAACTATAAAGAATTTAGAAAATCTCAAACAGCATTCAAAGGGTCTTGATAGGTTTTCAAATGGTTTGAAGATTCTTAAATATTTCAGATTCAGAAAGTGTGTAATGTTTTGAAGAACAGTGAAGATCCTTAGGTCTCAGATTCTAAAATAATTTAGATTTAAAATAGGTTTTTGGCGATGAGGATCCAACCTCTCTACTCTCTTCGTAGTGGGTGAAAAGATGACACACATGGTCTCTATAAAAACAGCAGATGTTTGATTTAGGAGCATCAGTGAAATGATTATGGTCTGATCTGAAATCACTCTGATTGGTTCCATTTTTAAAAAAAATCAGATAAATGTTTCTGTGCCACATTTAGACAAAAAGGTACTGTAGATCAGGGCGAGTGCTGATAGCAGTGTGAACGTAGTCTGAGTTCCCATTAATGTCAGATGGAGGTTGATTTCTGTCTTTTATCTTCAGTGACATGTGTTAGACGTGCTTCTGTACCTTGTGTAGAGCCGGAGCCAGGACAGGAACCAGGAAACCTTCATGGATGTAGCCCAGCAACTGGGAGCTAATGGAGGGATGAGCCACCTGGGAGAAACAGATAAAGACTGGTGGAGTGAGTGATTGATGCCTGTCTTTGTGCCACCTTCAGGCTGCGCCTGTTTGAGTGGATCACCTTGGTAACAGCACCGCAGAAGTCCAGAGAGTGCAGGAAGTGGACCAGAGCAGGAACCTGGTGACGTGGAAATGTTAGGATTCACTGGTTGGTTTTTAGAACCTCTGATGGTCCTGTGGTGCTGTGGACTATACCTGCTGCCAGTCCGCCTGTTCCAGGAAGTTCCAGTCTTCACTGTAGACCTGGAGTCTGGCTGGAAGAGACGAGTAGAGACCAGACAGACCTGTGGCCAGCACCTGGACATGCACGTGTGGGTGCAGACACACAATGGATGTAACAAAGATCTGACAAACTGTGACTTACCTTGATATTGTTTATGAACCTTATGTTTTATGTTTCTAAATTGATCTAAAAGAAAGCCTTGAAAGGCCTTAGGGAATTATGGGATTCTTTTTGAAGGATCCCTACAAGGTCCCTTAATGCTTTGAAATCTCATAGAATCTTGGAAATCTCGAGGGATTGGATATTGTGAAAGGTCTTAAACACTTTAAGGCTTTACCAGATCTAGAAATGTTAGATTTCTCTCCTTTAAGGTATTTGAAGGACCTCTTGTTTCCGTGGTTTCTCTGTACACATTTGTTGCAATGAAAAAATCCCACAAATCCCTCTGTGTTCCAATAATCCTAGGCTGAATCACTAATCTCTCCTCTGCAAAGAGATTGAGGTCACATGACTACACTGGTTTAAATCACCTTCCTCACACACACACGGACTGGAAACATGCTTGGACTAGAAACACGCAAACATGCAGGAATAGCAGTGACAGAGCCAAAATGGCCGACATATAACCACTTCCTGCTTATAATGTGTAATAGTTAAAACTATTTCCTGCTTATAATGTGTAATAGTTAAATCTATGTTTTTGTCTTTTTGTGTCCGTCCCTGTTCATGTGTCCACCTGTTGTATCATAACCAACATAACACCACTGTGTTCTACTGTCTCTCCATCAGTTGTCTCTGAGGTCCAGCATGAGCTCATCAGACAATGACTGGGAATAACTGGGATACTGAGATTACGATGCAGCCAGATGAGATAAATACACACAGACACGTAGGGTCCATGTGAGACCCAGCTAGTCTGGGACCATGTAGGGACGCCATGTCCACAGATTAAACCTCAGCCCAAAGGAATATTTGAGGTCTAACACAGTGTGTGTGTGTGTGTGGGTGTGAGTGTGTGTGACTCACAGGACAGAAGTATGTGTTGTGGCTGATGTGCTGAGCGACTCGAGGCTCAGACGCCGACAGAGACATGATGAGCAGCAGAGCGTCTCTGGCCTGTTGACCTACAGAACCCTGTCTGAAAAACAGAACCTGTAAAAACCTTAGAGTGGACCACATCTGTACCTGTGTATACCTATGTGTGGACCACATCTGTACCTGTGTGTGTGTTGACCACATCTGTACCTGTGTGTGTAGGTGTGTGTGTTGACCACATCTGTACCTGTGTGTGTGTTGACCACATCTGTACCTGTGTGTGTGTTGACCACATCTGTACCTGTGTGTGTAGGTGTGTGTGTGGACCACATCTGTACCTGTGTATACCTATGTGTGGACCACATCAGTATCTGTGTATACCTATGTGTGGACCACATCAGTATCTGTGTATACCTATGTGTGGACCACATCTGTACCTGTGTATACCTATGTGTGGCCCACATCTGTACCTGTGTATACCTATGTGTGGACCACATCAGTATCTGTGTATACCTATGTGTGGACCACATCAGTATCTGTGTATACCTATGTGTGGACCACATCAGTATCTGTGTATACCTATGTGTGGACCACATCAGTATCTGTGTATACCTATGTGTGGACCACATCAGTATCTGTGTATACCTATGTGTGGACCACATCTGTACCTGTGTGTGTGTTGACCACATCTGTACCTGTGTGTGTAGGTGTGTGTGTTGACCACATCTGTACCTGTGTGTGTGTTGACCACATCTGTACCTGTGTGTGTAGGTGTGTGTGTTGACCACATCTGTACCTGTGTGTGTGTTGACCACATCTGTACCTGTGTTTGTAGGGAATGAGCAGGGAGAAGATCAGGAAATTGGTGGCTCCCTGATCCTCACTCGTGTGGAAAAACAGTTCCAGCACAGAGGAATCCTTGACCAGCGAGACACACAGCTGTTTCAACAGAAGGACGAGCTCTGCCTCCACCACACCCCCGTCACCACCGCTGTCTGCAGAGAGGACTGATGTGAGCTTACCTTCAAACACCCACACACAGACTTTTGAACATCAGGCTTCGCTCTCCTTTAGTCCATAAAGAAAATCAACAATATGACATGACAGCCCACAACCGTGTCTGGTTCACTGCTGCCTCCATCAGGAAGTTTAAATACCACACTTAGTGGGTTCTGTGATTTAGACAACAAGGAGCAGCAGTAGACCAGCAGCTTCAGTGTTAGCATGAGCTAAAATCACTGATTTTCTGTATGGGCTTTGGTGAAGGACAGTAATTTGACACTGATTTTCAGTTCCTGAACTTGAAAGAATCTGTAGAAGAAGTACAGCAGTACTGCAGTGGATCCTTTCAGGAGTTTTGCACCAGGAACGCTGCACCCCTCTTTGCGAATTGTTAATCCTGTCCTTTCATGCTACTGTGGGATCATCTCACCAGCTCCAGGTTCAGCACAGGAGGCGAGCAGCATCATGAGTGGCCTCAGAACTGGCTTGTGGTGAAGCAGTGGCTGTTTGCCCTGAGTCAGAAGCATTTGATACATCCTCAGCTGCTCCAGCTTCATGTCCTCAGTGAACTGCCTCCTCAGACTCCACAGGAACAGCCTCTCCAAAACCCCCTCCAGAACCACAAACTCCAGGATTGGCCCCATGGCTCCACCTGAACTCCAGACATGAAAACATGTTAAAAGAAATGCTGTGACAGCAGGAAGCAGCTGGCGGTGTCACGAGCTTGCAGGTTGGTCGACCTTTCTCCGCCTCCTCCTCCATCAGAAGGAACAGCATGTGTTCCACATAGTTCTGGACGGCACTGGCTTCGTCTGCGGGGATCGGACCGAGGCGAAGGCCTCCAGAGCTGCTGCTGGTGGAGTGACCAGAGAGAAAACTGAACGCTGCCACACTGCTTCGACCTGGTTCATGTTTCTCCAGGATCTTCAGCACCTGCAGTGACGGAGGTTTGATGGAGCACAGAGAGACAGACAGAAAAATGTCAACAAATTCTGTAGCAAGGTTATATTAGTTTGGGATTTTTCATTATAGTATAGTTAAGTTACAGTTTTTTTTTCTCTAATTCAGTAAGTTTTTGCCGGTTACTGGTGAACAACCAACTGTACACAACAACCATAACAGCCCACCAGACATCAGCCTTACGTCCAAAACATGTATAAAGATACTACTGCTGAGGTTAGATGCTATTAGCTTGCCCAGCACAAAGCAGAATAGTTAAAGGCTAATGACAAATTAAATAAATAAATGGACAAAAACAACAGGCATTTTATCTATAATTTTACTTCATGTCAGTTTAATTATGGTTTCTATTTATTCCAGTTATCTATTACATGTATTTCCATAATTATACCATGTTCTGTAGTAGCAGTGGGTTTTTGACCCTGAACTGACTGACCAGTCACTTCCAGTCCTTTCATTCATTCACTCCACAGCACCTGTGTCCAGTGGTTCTTGAAGACGATCATACAGGTTTCTGGATCGACTCCTCTCAGTGTGAGGGACTTCTTCCGGATTCCTCTGAGGACCACTGATGTCATCATCTTAACTTAAGGTGTAGGGGCTACAGGATGATCCTCCTCACTGTGTGTGTATGCGCATCAGCTGGCCTAGAGGGGGCGCACAGACCTCAGAAGATCAGCCTTCTCTAAAGCAACTTCATCTAGCTTTTTTTCTTTCATTTTATCTTATTGCAGAATGAACAGCAAAGGCCCAAACAGGAAACGAGGGTCATCAGCTGCTGCGAGGAAACAGGAAGTGTGTTATGAATACCTTCAAGTCCCACCCTGGGCGTTCCAGGACATTCCAGGAATTTCTAGAGAGACTTCCCAAGCCCTCTATAAAAATCTGGTTAACCAAAATCTTCTTCTGCTGCTGTAGAAACTTCATAGATAAACAAGCCGGTGAGCTGTGTACATGTATCTGAATTATTGGTTTGTATTTTAAAAAGTAAGTAAGAGACAGATCTTCCAGTCCAGGACTAATGAGGTGTGAACAACTGGAAAACAAAATTCTTTGGGTTGAAATAAATTGTACCACACAGGAAAAACAGTGATTTAAGCTCAAAGGGTCACAGGAGCTTCTGGTCCACTGCTGCCCCCTATGGCCAATTCGTGTCACTGTGTCACAAATTTACAAAATTGACATGTAAAAGTGGATTGATATTTCCTGGGATAAGTAATATATGATGCCTGATTTACTCTAGGGACACTGGTGTGGGAGACACACCAATGTCCATAGAGAAAACCTTTTATATAATTATTAATAATAATAATAATAGAGGAATTCAGCTATTTTATTTCATACACACTGGACCTGTTGGGTTGATGCTGCCTCCTGCAGTCACTAAATGACTGCATTGAAATCACTAAAGGAGGCAGCATTGATTTAATGACGTACTGAAATGTAAAAGTATTATTTTTTCTCTATGGACTTTCTTCTTGCAGATTGAGCACTAATTAAAAAGAGGCTTAGTTAATATGTTAATATAAACACGTATAGCTTCTGTATGTGACTTTATGTCACATGCCATCACACTCACTAGGTATCCATCACACACACATGCACACACACACACTGACCTGATTCTGTTTCATTTGAACAGATTAGGGTTTAAATAAATAAATCCTGATGTTGATGTGAATGTGATGAAAATGGTCGTGAGGATGAAGAGTAATCCCTCTGACTAGAGCCTCTGGACATGTCCTCCTCTGTTTGCTCAGTTGTTGTGGCCTCGTAAATGTTCTTATCTTGACTCCATGACCAGCTGCAAGTTTTTTCTCACAGAAATGATGACAATGTTTGCAGATATGGAAATAAACTTTATTTTTTTCCAGTGAAACCACCAGGAATCCCTCACATAAATTGTACTTGGCTAAACACCAGGTGGCGATCAAATGCAGACTCATCTGTGAATGTTAATTGAAACGTTTTGGTCTGGAAAAACAACCTTACTCCCATGAAAAGGGCATGTTCAAGGGTGTATGAGTCTATCAATTATAGCTAACGTTTAGCCACCCGCTGTGCTCATGTTCAACTGCATTCCAGTTCAACTTGTAGATTTTTCTTGTCTAATTTTTAATCTTTTAAAATATTGTTACTAATCTTAATTTATCTTGTGTAATTTTAAGTTACTTAAACTTTATGTTGTTACTGTCTGCTAGCTATCTTGGTCTTACTGATATTGTAACGATTTTTTTTATCCCGGGAAAATTTGAACATTTTTATGACCTCATACTATTTTACAGTGGTGTAAATGTGGATAAAGAGACATAAATATGTATCGATAGATATACAGTATGTGTTACACACTGACCTCTTTCTGCTGGAATGCTCACTCTCTGTAAATGTCGCATTTAAACTCCAATAAAAGTTCCTCGAAAATCCATTGGTCAATAAATATATTTAAACAAACAAAAACAAACAAATTTAACAAACAAAAACAAATCTTGTCCTGAGATTTGTGTCTGTGCTCAGGGTTCATAGCTTTACTGAGCTGTTCTTTTTCTCTCTCAGGCTTTAATCCGCTCAACTGTCGATCAAGCTGCTGCCGGTTGTGACGTCATACTTAGTGTCTCTGCAATTTCCCACTAGAGGTCAGTGTTTGTTTGGTTTTCACGGCAACTGCTCAGCTGTACAGTACTGGACACAGTATTGGCTTCTCTCTGGTGGCAAAGTAATGGAACTACAACGTATGTGAGAACATAGTTATAATATGATTAAAAATGTTGAAGTTTTGTTTTGTTTTTTAAAATAAAGTCGATTTTCGTGATCAAAGACAAACTTTTTTTACATTCACATCTTAAAATCATGCAGCCAACACCAGCCAGTCCAGACCTGAAGAGTAACTGTTTACATTCCAGCTAAGACTTTTTCCTGCTGTAGTTTGGTCTCATCATGATCATGACGTGTTTCCGTGCTGGCTTTGTTAATTTAGTGCATCTCAGTGGTAACCTGGCAGTTACCTGGCAGTTTACATTCACATCTTAAAATCATGCAGCCAACACCAGCCAGTCCAGACCTGAAGAGTAACTGTTTACATTCCAGCTAAGACTTTTTCCTGCTGTAGTTTGGTCTCATCATGATCATGACGTGTTTCCGTGCTGGCTTTGTTAATTTTTTTATTTTGTTAATATTTTTTTTTTTTTTTTTGGTATGGAATTTACATCTTTATTTTGTTTACTTTTGCTTTTTGTGCACATATAGTAAAGTGTTCTTCCTTTATCTATTTGAATGTCTAGGTTTCGGCCAAACGTTATACCTACAGTGGACCGAACAGTACATGTCAAGTACATGTCAAGCTGTTCAGAAATAGCTAACAGCTCTCATAAAAATTGGTTAAACAAGACCACGGTTAGCCTGAAGTTGTTAGCATAGCGGCAATATAGTAAAGCATACTCAAATTGAGTGAAAATAACAGAGATAAACTCGTTTGTTCTCCCTTTAAAAATATTTATTTTGTTATTTTTTTTTGTTCGTGACGTCACTGGGCCAAAGCGCGTGCAGCTGTGTGAAGACCTCGCGCCGCCGCCACAGCTACACACACACTGTTTGACCGAAACTCTGCGCAGTCCTCCGGCTTATTTAACAAAAACTTGGACTTTAACTGACTGGGACGGTTCAGTCGCTGTCGAAAATGTAGCCGAACAGCGTTTGTGGCACGGGTCTTCACTTCGGCATGCGAAACTGACGGCGTTCGGGCGAACTTGTCCCGGGTTTGGGAGCTAATGTTAATGTTGTTGTTGTGGTGCTGGGGGACGTTGGAGACGAGACAACAGGAGGGGAAGCAGAGTTTGAGCCGGGTTTTAAATACGGTTTAAACAGACACAAAAGGTGACACAGGGAAGAACCAGAAAAGGAACCAGAAGATATGGCCGAGGCTCGGTCTGAAGAAGAGGAGGAAAGCCTCAGGGAAAACCGGGAACAAGTGGTCCGACGACAGTCCAGCAACTCTGGAGGTAAAAAGGAACACTAAGCCAACAAATTCGACGAATTTCAATTTAATCACCTTATAACGATTTTCTTCGTCGTTACGATCTGAAATAATAAGCTGTCATTAGTTAATTATCACAATTATTATCGAAAACTCGATCCTTATCTACAGTATTGAATTCTTCAACAAATCCTGGGTTGCGGACCAAATGTGTCTGGTGGAAATAAGTTTTTGGGCCGCCATATTGTTATTTTAAAAGTTTGACTAGATAGATATGTTCTAATGACTAATCACAATGCACTGGAAGTATGTGTCACATGAACATCATATTTCATTGTTGTTCACACAACAGTCAGTCAGTAGCTCTGAACTCTCTGAGAGCTACAATCGCTAATTTCCTCTATGGACTTTTGAATATAACGTATCACGTTTTATTAACCTTAACAAAGTGCTGCAGTTTAACCGTGAGATAAGAGAAGTTATTGAGACTACAGCAAAACTATATTAGACCGCAGCTCGACTTAACGAATGCCACATTTCAAGTACATAAACAAATAGTGGGGAAAAAAAATTAGAAATTTTACACCACAGCACGCTCCACACTTGTTGGTACAGCCCTCATCAAACAGACACAAAAGATCCTGTGTCTCAGTGAGTTTAAATCCACATTTTCCTCTATGATCTATGGGCTCAAGGTTTAGGTGTTGTGGTTTAATTCAATTTAGAAAATACTATAATAATATTCATAATAATAAAAATACGTATAAACTAACTTAAACAATATATGTATTGTGTCTTTAAAGGACCAATTTTCTTTTGTTTGACTGCTCGGTGTGCTGTCTGCTGTGTGTGTGTGTGTGTGTGTGTGTGTGTGTGTGTGAGAGAGAGAGAGAGAATATGGGTGTAACCTCCCTAAACCCACAACCATAAATTCTTGTATGGACATGCAAATATGACATGATTTGGGTCAAAGTTCTCTCTCTCTCTCTCTCATTCTCTCTCTCTCAATCTCCCTTTCTCTCTCTATCTCCCTCTTTCTCTCTCTATCTCCCTTTCTCTCTCTATCTCTCACACACACACACACACCGTGTGGTGAGACTGTGGGGAAACAGGGATATAATTTCACACAGGCGTATGAAGTGACATCGTCACCTCAATAACTGGTTACATCTTTAGAAAAGTGACGACACAACGGAACAAACAGACAATAACATGTATTTAAAAAGACAGTTAGAAACCGGGGGGGGGGGTGTGTCTGCACGCAAACGTTTAAATGAAACAGATAGAATTAGTTTCCCAAAAAGTTGAGGGAAAAAACATTTCAAATGTAAATAAAGTGTATCTCTGCAGAAATCAGTAAACATTCAATCTTCATTGAAGGACTTTGTACCAGGAACATTTCATTTACAGGAACTAGTGGAAAGTTTCTTCTCCGTGGAAGCAGAGAAAGTTCCAGAAACTGTCTGTGATATCAGTCTCTGTTACTGTTTGAAAACAAAATCTTTGTGTGGGACCCTGCAGCATAGTTCCTGCTCCTAAACTGAATTAATGACAATCTGTGACTGATTTATTTGGGCGTCTGAGCTTCATTAGTTCCTGCAGACTGAAGCCTCAGCTCTGGTTCAAACTGTTCTTGTTGTGAATGTACGGTTGTAAGCAGTTCACAGTCACATCACACTGCAAAAAAAAAAAAAAAAGTTCTTTGCTCAAAAATGACCACCAAAGAAAAGAGATGAAAAGGTCACTGAGTGTCTGACAGTGTCCTCAAACTGCATCACTGCCCCCTAGAGGCACTACCAGGTACTATATCTACTGCATGGACAAGTATATGTAACAGGAACAATTTAGGTGCCTACTGTAAAAGTAGTAGTAGTACTACAGAGAGTACCTGGGAATTAAATGTGTGCCAAGAATTGCAAGAATTGCAAAGTTTCCTCACCGTAATTAACCAGGAATATGTTTTGATGGTAAAAAATAATAATAACTTTGACTAAAGGCACCATGGAAACATAGACACTTGTTTTGCATTCCTTCCCAAAATACCTTCTACCTACTAACTTCTAACTACCTACCTACCAAAACTACCAAAACATCCTTAGAACGTCCAAGAACTATAAACAGTACCAGGAACAAAGAACAGTACTGGGAGCACACACGGTTCCCACACATCTGTAGTCTTCAGTCGTCAGTGAGCTCTTGCACCCTGTAGATGTTGGTCGGTGTATTTTGTGCTTCGTCAGTGTTTTTTCTCGCATCTCTGTCGTGCAGGGATTAAAAAGAAAAAAGAAACATCTGGAAATGTTAAAAAAACACCCTCCCATTATTTTTCAGCAGTATCCACACTGCAGCCAATCACAGCACTCACATCACATGCGCTGACAACCAATCAGAAACAAAAGGGAGGGTCCTGCTGACGTCCATTGAAGGAGAGCAGAAGAGGAGCAGAGGAAAATAAGTTTTCTCTTCTGGAAAATGAAGGAAATGTTTGTAGTTTTTTTTTTTTCAACAAAGAAAAGAAGCATCAACTTTAGTCAGATTTTGAGTTGACTCCTCAGGCATTTAAGTTCTTTTTCCAACTGAGATTTAAGGACAAGGAGAGGAAAGAAGGTGGGTAAAAAGGATGTTAGGAGAAAACGTAGAGGCAGAAAGTTGGGCGTCACAGTGGTTCTAAAAATCCTTGAGATTTCTTAAATTTCAATGTTGTTACGGTCTGACAAATGTTTAAATGTTTCCAGAAAGTGTTGACGCAGGGGTTTTATCTTTGATTTGGAAGTTAGTGTACAGATAAATGACAGATGAGACAGATGAACTAACAGTTGTCAAAATAACTAAAATGACTTTCTTCTGTCTGCAGGTCGCCCTAACAGACGGAAACCTGAACATCGTCTCAGGTAAGATGTTGGTTTTTTCGGGGGGATTTATCTTACTCTATCTGTAAAAACACCCATCATATGAGGGTTTCAAAATAAATGTCTCACTTTATAATTGTCCAAAAAATGTACAAACAAAAGTCATTTTTATTTCAGCACCTCTGCACTTCAACTTTGTAATTTGTAATAACTTCACGAAATCAATAATACATATATAAAAAACAAAAGTTTAGTAAAAAAATTAGTCAAAAGTTTTACGAAATCAATAATACATATATAAAAAAGTATGGTAAAAAAATTAGTCAAAAGTTTTTTCAATGAGCTTTGTGTTTATACTCACTCATATATCCATTCTATTCTACATTTCAATCAGTTTGTTGGTCCACACTGAACTTGAGGGTTTCCAAAATAAAGTCTGACTTTTGACATTCAGAAATAAAATTGTGCTTTGTACTAAAATTCTATATTACTTTGTTAGCCCTAAACTTCAGATTACAGATTGAAAAGTAAACACGTTTTCATTATTTTTGACACCAAATAAAGGCCTACCTTTAGTCCTCAAAGACAAAATAGTTTTCAAATTAAAGGTCAGTATTGGTCTATCACCACAGTGGGGCAGATCTCAACATAAAAGTCTGCTTCAGTCTTTCCAGGCAAAAATACATCATCACAAAAAGCACACCTCCATTCTAAAGCAGTTTTCAAAGTAAGAGTCTAAAGTTCCTGTTTGTCGGCACAAAAACACAACCAGACCCTTTCCAAAGGTTAGATTAACAGGTTTTATTCGTCAGCACCAAAACACCACCCAGTTAGTTTTAATAGTGACTTTTCAAACTGTTCACGAACACTTTTTTTAGGATCTCAGTTAGTGTTTCAGCAGGCTCTGGTCTGGTGAGACATGAGAATGTTTTTGTCATTAAAACCCGTTTCTCCAAACAGTTTTAATACATTTGAAAAAGATCTTAAAAAACAACACACACAGTGTAGTGTGCGTGTGTTTGGGAGGTTAAGCCCCAGTTTAAAAAAACAAACAAAAACAGACAAAATGATTAAAAACAGTGAACTGATGTTTTCCTTTCCATGGCTCTCTTTTCTAAAGTTATTTTCAGTTGTTGTTATTTCAGAACAGGTTTAACTGCTGACAGAGCTGTAAGCTGTGAATGGACTATTTAAAGCAAATGCCTGTAGGTGGTGATCAAAACTGTGAATGGACTATTTAAAGCAAATGCTTGTAGGTGGTGATCAAACAAACATTGTTGACATTATGTCTCTTTTTAACATCTGCATATCACTGAAAAGAATGTAACACTGTGGTGTTTTAACACCTGAACTAAACTCGTCTCTCGTGGGGAATTCCATACAGAAACTGAACATCGCATGTCAGTTTTGCTGCTTTTGTCCAGCTGGCAGAGAAGGAGGAGGAAGAGAGGGAGGAGGGGTAGGAGGAGGAGAGGAGTTGTGTTTTTCCATCAGCGAGTTAGAATAGTTGAGTCATGTTGAGCCTCAGTGTTGGTCAGTTTACAGCTGTGTGGTAAAACAGACAGAGAAGAGACATGGAGCAGAAAATGTGGTCAAACTTGTCTGATAAAAGTAATGACAAACATAAAACAAAAACGAAAAAATAAGCAGAAAATAAGCAGAAAGTGAGTGATGAGTTTTTTGTCTTGTCTTGTCTTTGTTCTCTGAGAGGGGTTCATGAGTTTGGATGTTATTTTTAATTCATTTAATTCATTCATTTATTATTATTGTTAAATCTTCGTCATGGCTAAAGTTCCAGAACAGTGCCGATATCTGGGAAACACCTTGAACCAGGAACTTTTCCTGGTTCAAGGTGTTCATTTTCTTCAGCAGATTTAAAATATTTTTTTATTTTTATTTGGACAAAAATATTTGTCAAACCAAAAGACTCGACACCTTGAACAACAGTACCAGAAACAGTACCAGAAACAACATGTTGACAATGCAGAAAATAGTATTTTCTGCATTCAGCTTGGAAATGGAAACAGTATAAAGATCTGTGAAAAGTACAGGGACCTCTGTGCATTTCTGCTGCAGGAACAATGACCAGTAACTAAAAACCGTTACAGGAATCAGTAGGGTTTGATTACAAGAGTCAGCTTCAGGTCCTGGAGGAAGCTCAGAGAACAGTGTGTCTTTCTACACCAGGAACCATGTGTGTTTTCCTGTGGTATTTTCACTAAAACCAGTGCTAAACCTCAATCATGAAACTGTTTTCTTCATAAACCAGAGGTTCATGTTTAGTAAGAGTAGCACTTTGGACTGTTACCATGTTGACCCTTGACCTTTTTCCTTTATCACATTGATCTCTGTCTGACTTGCTGGACGTTGTGTTTGTGAGTGAGTCTGTTTTTGTCACTGAAAAGTCAAAGAGGGCAAGAGAGAGAAGGTGCAAAAGTGGGAGGTGAAATGCAGTGACTCACCGTCTCCTCCTATTTCTCCTCAGCCAGGGTCCACTTTCCTCCATCAGAGCTGCCTTCAGGAGAAGTGAGTCACCTTCTGTTTTTATGTTTTCTTTCCTTTGCTGCAGTAGAGAAAATAGTTGTGATTTCAGTCTGATGTAAGTCAGTCAGAAGTTATTTTGGCGGAAATTGATTAATGCATTTTGAGAGAGAGAGTCACATATGGAATTTTGCAATCTGAATTAATAACTTAATGAATGATCATGTGAAAGACTTCAAAAAGTTCCAACCAGTTCCATCAGGGTCAACGCTGCTCTTTCTTATCTTTCAGCCTCCAACAGGTCCTCATCTGTCTCTGAGACATCCAGAGACAGAGACAGAGACAGAGATAGGAGGTGAGACCATGGACTGAAGTTATTTTCTTTTCCTCAACTTTTTCTTTTCCACGTAATTATTTAAATTTAGGAGATGTACACGCCATGCCAAGACATGGTGATCAGAGAACATAGAACCCATAGAACACTGACCCCACAGAGCTGAGAGCGTTATGTTATATATGTTTTAGATAATCCAGTACATGGAGTTTGATAAAAGTGAAAGGAACCAAAGGGAAGGTTTTAAAAAACAATTAATCAGAAGTGAAACATCCTTCAAAGTCTGCATCAGTTCTGGATTCTTGTTGGTCCAGAGTGACTGTTAGTGACCGGCCTGAACTGGTCCAGACCTAAGTCTCATTGAACTTTCCCGTCATGCTCTAATTTTATTCTTGATGTTTATATAAACTTTTTTTTTAGAAAGGGCTGATGTGTTTTTTGTAGACCTTCTGTTTTTTTCTCTTCTTCTTTGAGTTGGTGACATCATCTAACTCTCATGCATTACAGACTGTGAGCAGCTGCTGAATATGTTTTCTGTATAAGCTCATGGAGGAGCAGAGTGTCTAATGAATTAGACCACTATAGTCACTAAAGTCAACAGCACTGACCTCTGGTGTTTACAGTAAACGTTCTTCTGCTCCGTCCTGCTCCACACCTACTCCTCAGAAACATTTATAAACTCTAATAAACTCTCTGAAGTTCACAGATGGGAGATATGTTGTCATTTCCTATGACTCCATATATGGCATTTAGATTAATTTGTAATATTTATATATGTCTGTCTTATGTTTCTGCAGTGACTCTGTTCACAGACAGGGGGCAGCAGACATGGTTCTCTTTCTCTGTCTTTCTTACCTCTTATGTTGTCTTCCTGTTGCCAGGCGACCACAGATCACCATCCTGTCTGCAGAACCTCTGACCTCCACTTCCTGGTTCCCAGGACCCCCTGGGGGAGTAGTAGGAGACTTCCCACCCCCACCTCCTCCTGCTGCACAGATCTGGGGTCCTACCATCCCGGCAGCCCTACAGGTGATACTGATACTGAACTAAATGGATGTTGGATTTAATAGTGCAGGTGGTGGGCACTGCAGGTGTTTTTGAGAAACTCAAGCCTGTGCACAAAATTCCATAAAGAAAATGAGAGCTTTAGCTCACTAAGTTGTAGTGTGTTATTTTCTGACTGTACTGAATGAATGACACAGAATGACCACTGGAGGCAGTAGTGGACTGTAGTAAAAACATCGCTAATTTTGTTCTGGACTTTTGTGTGGTGAAAAAAAAATGGATGGAAAGTTCCAGTCTGTTATGGCTCGATTCTGTAGGTCTTAGTTGTACAATTTACAGCCCTTTTTTCCTTTTTTGTCTCCTACCAGCCTCCTCCGTCCTATGAGGAGGTGATCCGAGAAAAGACACAAGAGCAGGTTCTCCCGCCACCACCTTCCTCTTTCCCCTCCTGTTCCAATTTCACGACCACCATTGCCACACAGACTGAGCCAGGATCTGTTCCTGACCCTGAAGTGCATGTGGTTACGAGGAGACCAGTGAGACCCCCAAGACCTCCTTTTCCTAATCCCACCTCTTCCAGTCAGGTTGATGACATCACCAACCAATCAACATCCACCTCCCTGAGTTTGGAAGATGTGTTGGAGACAAACGTTGTGTTTGTTGACTCTGTGACTCCGCCCCCTGCCCAGTTAGTATGCCCCAGACCACAGCCTCGCTCTAAACTCTCCCAAAATAGCAGCAAGAAAGAGGTCAAAGTTCAAACTCTGGTGAAGCTCCGTGAGGACAGTTTGGCCACGTTAGCTGCCCGTGCAGAAGCTAACGCAGCTAACCAGCAAATCTGTCAGGGGAAGTACCTGCAGGAGCTGCTGGACGCCTTCAGTGCTGACGACTGGGGGTTTCCTGAGCATCGCAGGGACAGCAGCCAATCAGAGAGCGAGGAGGAAGAAGACGAGGAAGAGGAGGAGGAGGGCGACATGGCCGCTCTCAAGGCCAGGATTCAAGCCTTTGAGCAACAGAAGGGGGCAGATGATGGGAGCAACAGTGACATAGCCAGTGAAAAAAATGTTACAAAGCAACCTGAACCTCGACCACGCCCTCGTCTCCAACCAGCAAAGTCTGCGCCACCAGTAGTTGCTCCTAAACCAAAAACCTTTGCCCAAGCTCCCAAACAATCAACCAAAGTATTATGTGAAGATGGAAGTTTGACAGATACAGCAGTCGACTCGGTCGACACAGTTACAGCACCAATCAGAACTATGGAAAAACCTTCTATTGCGCCCAAACCTCAGCTTGCTGTAGAAACCCTGCCACCTACTGTTTCTGCCCCTGTTCCTGCTCCGAGACCTCCACCACCTAAACTCTGTCCGTCCTCCACCAGCCCTAAACCTCCACCAAGACCAGCAGTGGCACCGAGGGGCATCACGGTGGCACCACAACAGGAAAAGAGCTCCAGGCAGAACACACCAACTCTTCCTCCCAGACCTTCAGTGGAGGTCGGCATCAGTCCCTTGAAGACAGAGTCTTCAGTCACTGACACGCAAGAAACTGGTTAGTTTCCAGCAACTCTGACAGGATAAATATCTTTGAAACATGTTCACACTTTTGTTTAACGGTTAGACACACTTTTCAAAAACTGGGTCTAACCGTTTCAATATCAGAATTAGAAATCACTGATTTTCTCCATGGACTTGTGGACGGGTGTGGGGGTGGGGGGGGGTTATAGAGAAACCTCAGTTTTCTGTAGCAGAGCTCTGTCTAACAGCATTTACAACACATTCTTTATATGCAGTATCATAGATGTACAACTGTAATACTGCATGCTGGGACATATTGTTTTGCCCTTTTAGTTTCAGTGAAAGAAAGTGTTCGTCCAGACGTCCCGACCAAACCGTCAACTGTGACCCCAGCACGGAGAGCAAGTGGTAAGTGTGTCTGACTCAGTGTGTGTTTGAAAACTTAGCTCCATCATATGAAAGAGGGTTTTAAAAATAAAAGAATCAAATCCTTTCACTGATGAGGCAAAAATATGCAAATGCAATGCAAAAATATATAGGAAAAAATACACGTGTGCCTTTGTGTGTATGTGTGTGAGTGAACAGCAGTGAAAAGGGGGCTTATATTATGCAACACCATCATTGTGTTAAACAAGCGCTGTGATTGTGTGAGAGAAAAAAATCCTACTGTTTGTGTGTGTGTGTGTGTGAACAATGTTAAATTAGAAGTTTTTTTTTTTATCTTTACAATGCCATCATTTAGCTGGTCACAGCAGTGGGTCATTAATGCTGGGGTAGGCAATATACCAGTGGTGAAATAAGAGTTTATATACTTTTAAATATGGAGTTTAGTTTTTACACTTTTTTTTATGTTCTTGATTTTAAAAAAAAAAGTTTTTTTTTGGTGATTTCTGAGTTCTGTTTCCTCTTCCCCCCCAGCTCCAAATCTGGATTCAACTTCAGACAAACCTGCAGCTGTGGCCTCCAGACCACCAGGATCAGCTGCTGCTGTGGCTCCGGTCAAACCTCCAGCTCCAGCTCTGAGGAGAAACACCACCTCCCTGACAAAAGCAGAGAGTTTCAATGGTGCTGACACAAACTCCTCAGATCCTCCTCTTCCTCATCGGTGAGAAAGTCTGTGGTCCTTAGTGAAACTGAACCAATCCTAAATTGTATTTTCTAGAGCTCTGCGATTTAATATGTGCTGCCACAAGAGGGAGACAACACTGCGGTTTTTTTGTTTTATTTCTAACGTTGTAACATTTTGGTGATGATAACATATTACATACATTTATTACATACACTGTATGTTGTTACATATATGTTTGGAGACATATTTTTTTGCCATCCTCCAACACTCTTTGATGGATGTCACTCTCCCAGTTTTCTTTGGATAAATGAATCCACAGCCATGAATTAAGTTGAGGTCTGTTTTATTTAAGCCCCTCAAGTGTGAAGCTCCTCCCCCTCCGTCCTCCACCAATCAAGGCCATTCCTGAGCGTCCTCCTCCTCCTGCCGTCACCTCTTCTCCTCACTCCAGCCCTGCTCCCAACATGTCACCAGCCAGTCAGGGTTACCCTGCTCAGGGTCCACCTCCTCCTTCAGAAGCAGCCAATCAGAAGCAGGCCCAGAGGCAGCTTAAGAAAGGACCTCCTCTGCCTCCACGACCCAAACCTGGACATCCTCTCTACAAGAGCTGCATGGTGCGGAAACTCAAAGAACTTGAGGTTTTTATTAAATCAGTCTTTTTACAGGTCTGACTTTTTATTTCTCTAAATTCTACCACAGAAACAGGAAGTCCTGATTGTCCTGGACAACCCCAGTCCTCCACCACCACCACCACCACCACCAGTGCCATCAGAGCCTCAGCCTCCAGTTGGTTTAGTCATCAGTACATCACAGTGTCTCCTGGACATGGACATTCAGCCAGAGCCCGAGTCCAAACCCAACCTGGAAGAACTGAGTCTGTCAGAGACACAGGTACTATTTTTGTATCAACTCGAGTGTAGTGTTGTCACATTACCTAACATACTGGTACCAGTGTGTGTTTTGATACTTTCCTGCCATACAGCACTGAAATCATGAGTAATGTAAGGTAGAAGTGATTACCTGTCCTTCCTTAATTCCAGTGACGTGTGGAGAGGCACTGACTCCTCTGGGGATATTCAAATATATGAACCCAAAATAGATGAATCAGTTTTGACCTTAATTTAAACATTTGCACTGGAATGTAAGTTGTAAGCTTTTTTTAAGGGTCTCAAACTGTGGAAACAAGGTTTTGTATTGCTATTTGTTAACATTGACATACCCTTCCCTTTCCCTGTTCATTAAATTCTCTGTTTTTTAAATCCCATCAAAACAGCCCTGGTCCAAACACTTTGTTTCATAATCAGATCAGATTCTCACATTTCTGATGGAACCTGAACAGCCCTCGTTGCAGACTCCTTGTACAGTGTTATACAAATGTTATACAAGTTTATACAACAGTGTTTCTATTGATTTTCATTTGAAACATTCACAACATAATAACCCGTTCAACTGGTTCTGTTACTTTTTAAGGATTTTTCAAACCCATTAACGCAGCGACAGGCAGCTGTTACCCATCGTGCCTATGGGGCACAATATAAATGATCCTAACTACCCACACACCGCTCACTGCAGGACCAGTTCACTGCCAACCAACACCGTAGCAACCAAGCTCCTCTCCACTGCACCGAGTGACTCTGTAGGTGCCTCTGTCCGACAGCAGGGGACACTGTTCTCCACTCAACTTATGCTGTCCTTCAACACAAGGGGCTTGAAACGACACAGTGGAATCGATATTGAATTAGGGGGAAAAGAATTGCAGTGCTCTGATTTTTCTTTACCGGATATTGAATTAGGGGGAAAAGAATTGCAATGATTTTTCTTTACCGACCAGAATCTCTTCTTTTCCTGATCATAAAACCATCGATGCTTGTTTCCTGTTTTTCTTCTCTTCAGTCCATCCTGCCTGTACAGCAGCCACAGCACAAGGAACAAGATGCTCCTGTCAGCGGCCCACGTTGCGTGGCATTGTTCGACTATGAGGGTGAGGAGGAAGACGAGCTGACCTTCTCACAGGGTGATATCATCTCCCTCCTGGAACTGATGGGGACAGAGTGGGGTCGGGGCCAGATCCACGGGAAAACAGGAATCTTCCCTCTCAACTTCACTGATGTCACGGAGCCACTGCCCCAACCTGTGACGTCAGCAGTGGAAACAAGAACGACTGATTCTGGTGAGCTTCAGATTTCTGCTTCTTTCTTCCTCAAACCTGACCTTCAACCCCTTCTTTTGCTTCTTTCTTCCTCAAACCTGACCTTTAATATTCATTGCGGGAAAAATTACAGTTTTTTTGTCATTTAAAAAAAGAACAAATTATTTGTAAAGACAGTCATTTTTAAATCTTTTTAACAGAAACGGAAACAACGGAGGACTCAAAGTCACAGGTGAGTGTGATTTTTACTAGAGATGACCAATATTAACTTTTTGTGGTTATCCAAAATGCCAATATTGCCTAAACACTTCATTTTCGATTCCGTTATCAATGGATTGAGCTAAGTGCTGCCTGCTCACTGAGGTGATGGTTAAAGGCAGAGGTCACATTTCATTGTGTGCAGTGGTGTGCTGTGTCACAGTGACAAGTACTTCACTTTCACATGCAGTGTTTTTCCCTAAAACTATTTTTAGGGGTCACACATGACTCATTTTTTCGTGGTAATGCTTAACATCTGCTAATGCTAACACCTAACCTGCCTCAAATAATGAAATGTTTAAAAGGTTTGTGTTCGTGTCCAGGATGAGGAGTGGGCTGTGGCTCTCTTTGACTTCCCTGGTCAGACTGCAGAGGATCTGTCCTTTCACAAGGGGGCGCTGATCAGAGTAACAGAGCATGTGAACGCAGAGTGGAGGAGAGGAATAGTGAATGGGAGGGAGGGGCTTTACCCTGCTGCCTTCACACAACACTACGATGGTACACACACAGGCATCACTAGAAAATCCTGTCCTCAACACGAGGAAGTCATGTAACAATCACATCTGACCACAACTCCTTCCCGTTTCCAGCTCAACCAATCACAGAGCAGCAAAACCAGCAGGTGGCAGTAAAACAAGCCAAGGTGATGTTTGACTTTGTGGCAGAAAACGAGGACGAGCTAACTCTGAAGGTTTGTGTGAGGAGACGGAAGTGTGGCTTAATTCTACTCTTAGCTACATGTCCACTGAGCATGGATGTTTAGCTAACTCTTAGCAAAAATAGCGAACGATTCATTTCTTAACATCAGTGGTTCATAATCAAAGTTCTCAGACAGGTGCGGTCTTATCTGGACAGTGTAGGTCTATGCTGCTGTATTTAATGATGCTCAGTCTGCTGGTGCTGGGGTCACTGGAAGAGAAGTATCTTTAGATCTAACATGGTGAAGAACCTCACACCAAGTTAACATCACGAATTCATTTAAGTTGTTCAACCTTTCCAAAAATATCATTTTCTTGTTTTGGTGTTTTGTGCTCTTGTAGGTTGGTGACATCATCACTGAGGTGGAATCTGTGGATGAGCAGTGGATTGTGGGAGCTGTGGGTGGGAAGCGTGGAATTGCCCCAAAAAACTACATTTCCCTCCTGTGATGAGGAAAACTAAGAAATGCACCAGTGTTTTTCTGTGTCTCTTTGTGTGTCTGTATGTTTTTTTTTTTTTTTACAAACAGTTGTCCATCTGTCCAACTGTGTAGACACTTTCAATGGGACGTTTCTTCTGGTTGTTTCATAGAAAGTCTCATGAGGAGACATTTCAGAAGGACGTCCAGGTGGGATGGAGAGAATACTAGCATGAAATGTCCTGGCGCTGGACAATGGCAGTTGCACATGTCTATGTTGAGACATTGAAGTGGAATAGTTAGTTGGACAGCTGAACCTGACTGAGGACTTCTGGGCTGAAGGACCCTGTTGGACATCTGAATCTGACTTTCTTCTTCTGTGGAATCTTTTATGTGGACACAAGTTGGACCAAAATATTGAAGTTGGACAACTGAGCACTCAAATGGTAGGACGCTTCAGTGAGACGTTTTGGTTGGAAGTGTGGATGAGATAATAGACACTGGACCTGGTGGAACATTTGTGGAAGATAGCTGAGTTGGACACTTGACCACCGTGACTCAGGTGGACATCCCAGTTGGACTGCTAAGCTGGAAGTTTGGATGCTGCGTGTTTTGAGTGGACAGTAAGTTGGACATTTCTTCATTGGTCAAGCTTCTTCAGTCAAGCATCATTTTTTTTCTGTATCTGAACAGAATCGTCTGACTTCTGTTTTTTTTTTTTTTTGTTTTTTTACAACAACAACTCTTTAACGTAACGAACCTTCAAACCCAGTTGAACAGGGATGAGAACTTGGACACTGATGAGACACGACTCAGCACCTGAGCAGCTTTTGTTTCTGTTATCAGGCAGTTTTGTCACAGGTACGACTGAAAACAAGTGTTGGTTACGATTTTTTTTTTATATCGTTTACTTAAAAAGTTGATGTTCTTTAGTGCTGATGTGATCAAGACGACAGTTTTCTTCACCAGTTCTACTTTTTTTTTCAACTCTCCAACTATTGTATTTGACTAACACTTGTTAGTGTATATCGACGTAGACGCTAAAGATGTTGCAATTTCATGCAATTTATGCAATTTAATGCTGAAAGTCAAATGACTGATATTAATAATGGGGACATTAGCTTGTAGGCTAGTATTCTAAGGATTCGTGCACATTTTTATTTGTTGTTTGTTGTTAACACAATAGCTATATAAACCTTTCTACATCATGTGAGTCAAGGCTTCTTAACACATAACATTCCAAAAGCTTTTTTTTCTACGACACCTGGATCTCAACATCTACAACAGACGGCAGTTCATTCCGACGTTAGCCTTCTTGTCTTCATTGCTAGCTGCAGTTAAACTGTGATGTTGTCATCTGTATGTTCTCGCACATCAGTGCACCGTTATTTTTAAGTGAAATAAAAACATCTTACTTTTTTCTTACTTTTTGTTTGTTGCAACAGCAACACAATTTTTGAACGGGTGCTGCTGAATGTGTGCTGTCAGGTTAGAGTCCACCAGCTGCCAAGTTACCACTGAGCTGCTCTGAGGATGGCACTGTCCCCACTCACTGCTGCCCCCTGCTGACTGTGGTGATGGGTCAAATGCAGAGGTTGTGCAGTGGTGTGGTGTGTAGTTTTTTTTCTTAGACCTTTACACTTCCTTACATCCACCTGGGGGCACCCTTGCTCAAAGTCGTTCTGTAACCCAAACCTCAGGTCTAAAACGGGCAGAGATCTGGAACTTCTGTCAGACTTGGACATCATTCAGACAGGGTTTAGGTTTTCTACCCATTGGTTTTTTATTTTAAAAGTTTTTTTTTAACTCCACATTTCTCCCAGTTTTTAACTTTTTTCATGTCAAAGAAACTACATCTGTAAACATTTTTTTTACCTGCATCACTTTATTTTGACATTAATGCTTTCTTTCCTGTTATCGCAACAAACAAACAAACAAAGGTTTCATATTAACACACATCAGTATTGCCATTAACAAACACGGTCACGTTCTGACATATCTTTCTGCATCAAAACAGGACCAGTTTTCCCAAGAAGGACCAGACAGGTTTCAACCCAGGTCACAGCATCCAGTCTGAGCTGAAGTCTACAGTTTTGTAGCTGCCAAGTCAAAGATCCAGGATTGACGTGTGTTTAGATCAAATTGATTGGTGTTGTGAATGGAACTGATTCAAAGGGATCCTTAAAAGGAAGAACCGGCCTCAGTCACACACCTAGCTCTACTGCACTGTTTTTAACAAAAAACTGATGTGACATGATCACAGACACACACACACACACACTGGATTCAGTACATTTCAAAATAAAGATTAATGATCTGACTACAGGACTCACACTGAGTCACATCACACTGTCACATCTGTCCTTTCTTTGTGTGGACGTTCTGATGTTCCACAGTTTTTAGTGAGTGTGGTGCCAACTCTGTCCTTTCAGAAGTGCTGAGTTTCTTATCCACAATCAGGTCGTTGGGCTGGAAGCTTTAACAAGTGGCCCAGTCTGCACTCACTGCAGCTCTGAGTCGCTCTAACCATGTCCGTGTTCTTGTTCTTTCATTCATGACCTCAGCTGAGGTCGGGAACAAAGAGAGTTTAACCTTCTCTAGCCTCTGTGTCGTCACAGCAGTGAGAGCGCAGCTGATGCCCTTCTCCGTCCTACCTTTCACTCTTTTGGTTCCACACCAGACCCTGAGATACCAGAACCCCTTCACCTGGAGCTGTTTGGGCCAAAGCTGCTGGAGCGTACGTCAGTGGCAGCTGTCTGTAGTTTTAAAGGCCATGGTGTGACCTACATCATCTGGCTGCTGCATATAGGTACTTGGTGACTGATGGGAGGTGAGTCAGTATGTACTGGTGAGTGGGCACCATGTACTGATGACTAGGAACCATGTACTGATGAGTGGGCACCATGTACAGATGACTAGGAACCGTGTACTGGTGAGTGGGCACCATGTACTGATGAGTGGGCACCATGTCCTGCTGAGTGGGCACCATGTACTGGTGAGTGGGCACCATTGGGTTGTAAAGCAGGATGAGTTTAAGACGACTAGGTTGGGAGCAGCGTAGACCATCGAAGGCAGAGCCACTGGGGCAAAGAGTTCATTTTACACAACAAAGGCAACATGATGAAGAGGGCGAACCTTTGGTATCATGACCTGACCCTGTGTAGGGCAAAGATAAGTGAGGTTCGAGTCCCATTTGAGTCGCTGAACAAAATTTGGTGAATGTAAGAAAAACATTTCTCAAACACGTATGATTTAAAAAGTGACAGAATGCATGTTGTTCTTCATTTTCCCACAGTTTTAAAGGCGTCACAGCAGCTCACACTGCAGGTGGTTATCGCCCAGTGTCTCAGGTCAAAGGTTAAAGGCCATGGGAAGGTCCAGTTTAGGTCATTTTACACTATCACACATTTATTTCCATGACAAATAAGATTAAAAAATTCAAGTATTTAAAAAAGGTGACCTTCAGTTTTCACTACACACACACACACACATGCACATCATGTGAAAATACACAAAAAGGAACACAAACACAGCCAGGACGTTTTTGAAAAAAAAAAAAAACACAACCCTTTCACCCGCCCAAACTTCTCACCCAAAAATTGCAGATGTAAAAACATGAACTGTTTCTTCATTACCTTTGAAAAGACGTTGTCTTCAAACCTGGTCAGATGTGCAGCACTGTGAGCTAACTGTAGCTCACTACTGAATGACTGTTACCTTGAACTTACTTAAAGTCTATCTCTTTGCTAATTCTTGGCTAACTTCAACAACACCAGCTGTTTATTTAAAATAATTCTGTACAAAACGTAATGGAGAAACCGTTCAGTTTTTTATGCCTTTTTTGGAGATGGTCTTCAGCATAGACAAACAACATGATGTGCAAAATGAAGCAATATGATTGGTTGATGATTTTTGCTATCTCAAAGAAACTAAATGAATGAATGTCCATCATTGTTCAGTCAAGATTCCCCTCTAACCATTTTATACCGTTAGTCAACGTCCTCTAAAACCTCCATCTGTGAAAAAAAAAGATTTATCGTTTCTGCAGAAAACTTTTTTTGTTTCGTTATTTTGATTCTTCAAGTCTAAAAAGGAACCCTAACTCCACTGATTGTGTATTTTTTGTGTCTACTACACTTTTCCTACGGCACAACAAATTCACACAAACAGACATGACAAACGGTATATTCACAATATTTACAACAGTGTTATTCCCTCCGTTAGCTACAGGTGGAGGTCTTGATTCAGGCAAGAGTTAGCTTAGTTAACGTAGACGTGGTGTCAATTAGTGGGAAAAAATATTCTGGATCTATTTTGTTTGTTTTTTTTCTTCTCAGTCAAACTAGTCATGGACACTAATAGAATCTCCCTGTATGTGCAGGAAATTAACCAGCAACCTTTTTTAAACCATAGCGAAATAATTTACCACAACTTTAGCTAAAAAAATGTTCTCTCTCTAATGTCTGGAGGATATCTGGAGCCACGACACCGCTGCCTTAACACAACAAACCGTGGAATTTCGTGTCGAGCTGCCAAGCATTACTTTTAGCTTAAAATGTAGTTCTACCATATTCTTTTCTTCTAGGCTCACTTTAGCTACTTAGTTTAGACTCATTCAGCAGCTAAATGTGGACGACGAACATTTAGCTATAGCTAAACTGAGTGGGTATCTACTTTTGAAAATGGTGTTTCCGATCTTGAAGTACTGTGGAAATCACAGAGTGCTCAGCTTCCCCTCATATCTTGTGCTAAGGCTAAACCTAGCTAATCTCGTAAATCCACAATCGCGTCTTTTGTGTTAAAGTCAACACTCTAGGTTGAATTCTTGGTTCAACACTGAGTTGAAGATTGAGTGTTTCGAGGAACCATTCACCTTAGGCACAGTACTAGAACATTATCTTTGACTGATGGACGACGAAGGAGAAGAATTGGGGCGTGAGGGACGGTTCCTCAGCATCAATGGAAGACATCTAGGTTTCTGAGGGACAGGGACTACCAAGAAATCCATCCCTGAACCAAAAGGAGTCCTGTATCTGAAATACCCCTGTGATCCATATGGAAATATATATGGACTAGAACCTCAAGAGTCCTTCAAGACCTGAGGTTCTGGATTAATTTTTTTAAAAAGTCCTGTTTCTGTGGAACTCTGGATGATGAACCGATCCAGTAGCACCATCATGGTGTCCTTAAGGACTTGTCTTGAACAGCAGTAGGACATGTGTTGGAGGTCCAGGAGACATTATACTTCAGAGTTCAGCAGCAGCAGTAAAGACGTCCTCAGTAGACTAGGAGATAACAGTAGAGGAGTTGGTTGGTTTTCTGTTAAGGCAGCATTCTTCCTGTGGGCCGTGAGTACTGGCCACGTCCAGAAGGCAATCCAAACCCCAAGAAGACCAGGAAAGGCTTTGAGTTTCCAGTAAATCAGAATTGAAGAAGACGGAAGAAGGATGACGGTTTTGACTTTAACCAGAACTTCATGTGGTTTTCTGATTTCTGGCTCTTGGACAATGTTATTTTATCTCTTTAAAAATGCAGATGACTGGACCGTCTTGACTGTGTTCAGTGTGTAATAGGTTTTAGACCCAAGGTCCATCTTTGACCTAGACGTAAGGACCATGACCGGTCGATGAGTCCTACTTTGTTCTGAATGAGAGTTCAGGGTTCAGTTGGTCAAACTGTTCCCTCTTAGAGACCGTGTGGTCTTTAGTTTTAATCACTGTAAAGACTGATGGACTGTTACTTGAATGTGTTTTTTCTCAGTCTCCACTGAATGAGGAGTATTTCTGTAGACCAATCAAACGAACCTGTTTGACCTGCAGTGACTGAATCCTGTGTTTTGGATTAGACTAAAGATTTTGAAATGGATGAATAAAAAAAAAAGAAAAAAAAAAAGAAAAAAAAAAAGAACGGAGCAAGAAAAAAAATCTGAACAGATTTCTGAAGCTGTGGTGTCTTCAGCTTCTAACTGCTGATGTGACAACAGGGATCAGACCACAGGTGAAGGAACCTGCCTGGTCTCCAGTGTGGGTGAGTCCTCATCCGGATCCAGGTCTTCTTCAATGTCCTGCTCTTCGGCGTTGCTCACAGTGATTGAGTCGACGGGATCTTCGGCGTTGCTCACAGTGATTGAGTTGACGGGAGCTTCGTCCTGAAGGAATTCATCACCATCATCAGTGTAGAAGTTTAATCAAGCTTTTTGAACTTCCAATTCTTCAGTCACTCACCGTCACCCATGGATGGGACAGAACTTCATCGGCAGTGAAACGAGCTTCCACATTGACCTGCAGCATCTGACTAATCAGCATCTAAGAAACAGGTCATGTGACAATTACCAACTCAAAATGACACCTTTAACCCAGTGCTTCTCAAACTTTCTTTCTGGGGACCCAGAAACCTTTAAACCTTTGTGACCCAAGTCAATAGACATTATTGTAAACTCCTAGGAAACATGATGCGAGATGACCAAAAAAAAAACAAACTCTTGCGACCCACCTGAGGATCGTGACCCAATCTTTGGGAAACAACGCTTTAACCTACACATAATTATAGAAGGCAGGTGCATTGAACTAAAAAGATGTGTTATACACATTAACTCCTTATTATGGGGTTGACTTTGACAGTGAATGGACTTTGGTCAGTGGGCTACAATCACTGACTGTCTCTGTGGACTTCTGGGGGACAAAGGCAGAGTTACCTGTAAATCTTATCATTTTTAAGGATGCCTGACTATGTGATGAGATGTGGTTGCCATGGTTACCTTGGCAGGCAGACTGATGGTGTCCCAGTCCGGAGATGGGAACTCCAGCTTCCCCCTGAGGATCTGATCAAACAGCTCCTCCTGGACGTTGTTCTCACTGAGGGTCACAGGGGAAGAAGAGGAGTGAGTCCACTCAGAGGTCACTGACCTCACTGCCTACACTCTGATGGATGATGAGTGTCAAACTGATCCACTGAAACCTGATTGGTTAGGTTTGTTACAGTCGCTCCTCCTCTTAGAAAATGAACTGTACTTTTACAAAACTCTTTGTTGAACAGTTTCCCTAAAGACAGGTTCATATCCAAGCTGAGATCTGAACAAAAACATTCAAGAAAAAGGTTCAAATCCCAGCCTGAATCCACCAGGGAAAGGTTGTGTTCACTGACCTTCTAAAAGGAGGAAATCCACACAGCAGGATGTAGGCGATCACTCCTGCCGCCCAGATATCCACCTTCAGGCCGTAGCTGTACAGGAAGTGCACGTAAGTTATTGAAGTTAGTGAATTTTTGACAACAGCGTTTACAAATCGGTTCCTCACCCAGTTTCTGCAATGATCTCTGGGGCCACGTACGTAGGCGTGCCACAAACCGTGTACAGCGGCCCTTCCACCACCGTAGCCAAACCAAAGTCACCCAACTTCAACGACTTGGTGCCATCAGGGTACTCGCATACCTGCAGTAAACAAGTAAACACATGGTTCAAGTTGACTCAGCTGTGAGAGCACCCTGTTTTAGACCAACTCCTAGAAACACTGGTGTGAAAAACACTTCTAACCATGGGCTAATCTTTAATTTAATAATTTGTTTGATTACACAGTGATATTCTAGAATAACTTTCTAGAATATCACATCTTCCTATTCTTTGGAATAGTCCTTAGTCTTTCTTACAGGCTAACTATGACTTTTTGATTTTTCTATTTTCTAATCAATTCTTTTCTTTCTTTTCTTTTCACTTTTCTTTTCTTTTTAGCTCTTCAACGTATATTTTTGGCAAACTTTTAGGAATATCAGAAGATTCCATTAGTGAATTATTATTTGCTCTAAAACATCCTGCCCGACTGTCCTTGAAGCTAGGTTTACATTTTGTGACACTGAGGCAAATTGGAAGCATTTTGAATGACAAATGTACAAAACAACACAATTGGTTTAACGTGTGTGTCCCTTCAGCCTTCAACAGGAGTGTGTGTTAGTACCAGCAGGTTCTCTGGTTTGATGTCTCGGTGCACGATGTTCATGTGATGCAGGTACTTGATGGCTCCTGCCAGGTTGAACACCATAGCGCTGGCATCGCGCTCACTGTATTTGGTGGAGGAGGTGATCGCGTCAAATAGGTCGCCGCCCTAGTGGTGGAGCGATATAGAGAAGATTTTGAGAAGGTAGGCAGAATGAAAATGTGGTGAACAACCAAGAAGTCTAGCAAAGAGGTGGCCGTCACCAAACCATCTGACCACTGCACACCTTGACCAGCTCCATGACCAGGAAGAGCTGAGTCGGCGTCTCGTCCACCTCGATCAACTCTATGATGCTGGGGTGTCGAACCCTCCGCAGCACAGCCACCTCGTTCTCTATTAAGTGCTCCTGCACGTGCACAAAAACACACCCAGTCTTCATTAGCGTCACGCTAACGGACCAGTACAGTGGGATTAATATTCTTATTGGATGTTACCTTCCCACAACATCGAGCTTTGTCGATGATTTTCAGAGCAAATTCCTGTCCTGTTGACCTGTCCACCAAAACACGACATCAATCAATCTGATCAATATTAAATACAAGATTTAGTCACTTTAGAAGGTTGCTTAAAGTTAACCTAATTAGCTAAAATATTGCTCGAAAAAACAAGAAGCTTGATGAAAGCAATGCAATAATGCTAAATGTTAGCCAAAACCATACAGTAACATTAACTAAATATGAACTAAATATAAAAATAGTTTGCATGTGTTTTTAGGTTTTGGTGTCTTTCCAGCTCACCTCTCCACACACTCCTTCACCACAGCGAAGTTTCCGTCTCCGATCACTTTTCCCACTTTGTATTTGTCGTTGATGATGGAAGAGGAAACTGATCGGTTTCCATTCACTGAGTCAGAAGATGACACATGGTAAACAACAGTCAACATCCCGGTAACAAACAGCACTTTCTGATTGGTTTTAGGTTAGGAACAAACAAACCTTCCACTGTCTTGTCGTCCTCTGTCTGCTCAGTGTCCCCGTTTACGTCGGTGGACGACGGTCGACGAGGAGATATCTGGAGAAAGAAAACAAACAAAGTGAATATTGATTTTCTACACATGGACCATCGAATCAACAAATTCATCAGTGAGACCTTGAGACTGCGTCTGCTTCCAGGGCTGGTGGGGGACGGGGTGGACCTGGACGCTCTACCAGCTGACACCTCATTGGCTGAGGACAAAAGAAAGAGGATTTGTGACTGGTCAGAAAAAAGGAGTAAGAAATGCCGTGTAGATTAGAGTATGACTGGTCAGAAAAAAGGAGTAAGAAACGCCGTGTTGTCATTTGAGTTTGTTTTACTTTGTCATTTTTTCTTTAGAGTGTAATTTGATATTATGTTGACGTAACATTCTTGTAGTTCAGTTGTGGTTCATGGTACTTTTTAAATTCCCTTTAGATTGTTGTAATAGTTTAGTGGAATTTATTTTTATTTAATTTGTAGTTTGCAATATTGTAGTTTCATCATGGTTTTTTATAGGTTTTGCTGTAGCCTGATGCAGTACTGCTGTACATTTTATTTATGTAGTAGTACTACTGTACAATTATTTATTAAAATCACCCTTAGTTTGTCATACTCGATGCGTTGTTGTTTATTAGTATTGTGTTACTGCAGTTTTATTGTAGTTCACTGTTGTTTTGTATCACGTTTCGTAGTAAACCGTAGTATCAGTAGTGAGGTACAAACACAGTGTCAGTCATTCATGCTCCTGAGTCTCCGACTCCTCCCACCTGGACCTGGAGACTTGGTCCTAGTTGGACCTTTGGGTGAACTCTTGGAGGAGGAAGAGGTGACAAAGCCGGAACCGCTAGGAATCTTGGGAGTTGTAGTTTTCTGAGGAGCAGCCGAGCGAGAGGTTTTGGATCTGCATTCTGAGAGAAACATTTAGAAAAGTAAATTACGGCGTTTGTGTGTGTGTGTGTGTGTGTGCACGGGTGTGTGTGTGTGTGTGTGTTTTTCGTCACCATTGACAAAAAGCTGTGATTTGCCTCCGTGTGTGAGCACAAAGTCATCCTGAGCGTAACGGAACTTCTCAGGGCCGCACGCCATGAAGACATCATCATCGCCGAAGAAATCCTGCAGACAGGTCAGCTGCAAACACACACACACACACACAAAGGAGTACACATCAGATTTGCATCTTTTATTTCACTCATCTTGGTTTCTCTCTCCGCTCATGTTTCCTCTGCTCATGGTGTGTGTGCCTGCGTGTGTGTGCGTGTGCACGTCCAGTTTGTGTGGCCACTTCATGCAACACAAAGCTTCACCACGGTGGCTTCACAAACACAAACTGACACTGTGGTTGTGGGGTTACCATGGTGACAGGTTCTCCAGTGACACACACACACACACACACAGACTCTGACCCTGTTTGGTTTGTGTGTAAAAACACAGTGACAGGTCTGTGTTACCAGAATAAAAACTCGGACTAATTCAGCTGTGACTTTTATTTACTACAATCACTGCTGCCTCATTTCTCACAGACAGAAATCTGAATCGGGTTTTTATTCCTTCTAATAATCTCTGGATTGGATGTTTATATCTTAAAGTTGGTTCTGGACTCACCTGTTTCCCATCCAGGGTGTACAACCTCTTCACCGCCCCAGAGTCCAGTTTGATGGCCTCTGTGATGTCGGCCAGCACCTGGTCAAAAGAATGCGCCGTCTTCTTGTTCAACAGGATTCTCACTGCCTTTCTGGGCTTCACGCCACTGCGAATTACCGTCACCAGCTTGGGTTTGATGAATTCTTTGCTATCTCTTCCTTCGCGCCCTTCAGGACGTTCCCTGCTGCTCACACCCGTGCTCGCAGACACACCTGTGGACACTGTGGACCGAATGGAGCCGACACTGCCCCCGGCCCCCGGTTTCCAGCTTGGGACGGAGATTTTGGTGTAGTCCACTTTTCTGTATGGCTCGTTGGAGGCACACACATAGCATTCACCTGGAAAATAGTCAAGAACAGCAATTTTTCTTTCTTTCAAAAGAAATTATAACATTTTTAATATTTTATATAAGCCTACATGTTTCATCAAATTAAATTTCCTACAGGATTAACCTTTACACAAGCTTTAATATTTAGCTGCTGAATTTGCATGATTATAAAAGCTAGCGCTAAAGCTTTAAGTATGAAAGATAACTTCCTGTTGCTGCTGATTGGAATATCATTTCACAATTTGTTGACACATCCAACATGTCTAAGCTTAGGCTAACTTCCTGTCGACTGCGAATGGCTCACATTCAATGACAGCACAATCTCTGGTTTTGTTTGACACAATCGAGGTGTTCTAGCTAACTTCCTGTTTCTAGACATGACATTGTATCTGCTTCATATAAGGACTGAGCATTGACTGATGTTTGAGCTAACTCCCAGTCTCTACATCATTACAGTTTAACTGTAGAATTATAAATTCTTGACAATTATGCATGTTCTTCAGAAGTTAACTTCCTGTTAGCTACTGCAGCTAGCATTCCAATTTGTTTTTTTATTTCTCTTGGCTAACTCCCTATCACCTGCTGCTGTATCAAAATACTTTTACATTATTTTTCAGAATTTTACAGTAAACTAAATGGTGTTGTTGTTCTCGTGGCCCAGTTCCGCTCTGCTGCCATTAGCCGTCAGTTTTAGCAGTCGATGGCTTCAGGCTCTAGCGTCTGTCTTTCACTTGGCTTCTATCTGAACAGCTTCCTGCCGCTCCAGCTCATTAGTGGACATTAGAACCAGTCACAGATCAATATAGATGAACAGAGATGTTTCTCAGAGGCCAAATGACTTCAGTCATGGGAGCAAAACCATTTCCTGTCGGCAGCCTTTATTATCTAATGTGACAGATTATTTCTGACATCAACAAAGGAGCAGCAGCAGCAGCAGGTTTTTGCCATTGCCCTAAATAAGGAATACATTCTGTCAGAAATTCATTTAAACTGTTGATGTGATTTGATGAATCTGTGTATGCCATCGTCTCCCCTCAGTCTGGGTCCCTGTGGTGTTTTTGAAGTTGTCTCCATATTGAATATTGACTATGCTCTAAATATTCTGTTGTTGATGGAGCCAGATATTAATAATTCATGCGTGTTTGGACGGACAGAGGGAGATGCAGACGGTGGGGAAGTGAAAGGACAACAGATTAGATAATTGATGGATCAGTGCAGGAGACCACCATCTGGTAATTGGCTCTTTTACACCAGTCCATTTTGGTCTAATGAGTGATATATGTTGAGTCAGGTGAATCAGTTGGTTAAGAAAAGAACTTTGATTTAGTCAGTAGGTTTCCTAATATGACAATTACTCCACTGAACTTTGATAATTTAGCATTTTAGCTAGTTTTGGACAAAACAGTTAAGACGTTAAAATAAGAAGTGAAGGTTAATATGGGTCAGCAAATGTGCTTTTTTGTTTTCAGAAACTATTTCTTATTTTGTGCAGTCTCTTTCACACGTCTCTTCATTTAACATGCTAACTAGCTAATTATGCACAAACCATCATTGTCAATACACAACGCAATTTTAAACTGACGTTAGCAGAGTTTAGCTGGACACAAATGTTTCAACTTTTTATAAAAAAAGTTGTTTTATCAAAACAGAAAAAATATAAATTATCTCAACATGCAATTGAGTAGAAATAAACGTTACTTCAAAAATGTAATGTTAAACTTTTGTGTTTCTGATGCCTGAGTTAGCATGCTAATGGTTTTATTTTATGACATTAGCATGAAGGCTGATCCTGCACCACCATGGCAATCTGTTGCTTTCCTATGCAGTCTAGAGTTAGCTTAACTTAAACATATGCAAAAGATGAAGTTAGAAGATTTCTTTTTCAATATGAACTGTAGTCAATATTTTCACTTTAAATATATTGATATTGGTCATTTAGTTCAGATTAATTTTTATTTTTAACACAGCTCAGTGACACTAATGTCCTTTTTTTAATAGCAGATGGAATTACACACTCTTTGATGACTAAGCTGCTCTGAAGACAACTCTTCAAAGAGGATGACTAAGCTGCTCTGAAGACAACTCAGGTACAAACTTCAAAGATATCTCAAAGGTACAAGTCCTCAGTTGTGGCTCCTACCTTCCACCAGCTCGTCCATACTGCTGATCTTTTTGCCACCATCTATCGTATAGATTGTTCGCACTCCCTGTGGCAGATGTAGGTTATCTGACAAAGACCGTGTCAGCTCCATCAGCAGTGCATCGTAGGAGCGGAACCGGTCGCTGGAGACGGCGTACACCAGACCTTTGAAATACCGGTCTCCGTTGCGGTAGAATCTCACCTTCTTGGCACGTTTCTCCGAGGTCAGTGCCTGCAGCGTTCTGGTCCGGTAGTAACTGCAGTTGGCACTGTGAGCTGGGCTAGGGACCAGGCTGCTGCCTCTGGAGCTTGGTCCCGAACCTCCACCGCCACTAGCAGAGTCATCTCTCTTGGCCCGGGTCGAACGTCCTCGCCGAACCCTGTCGCGTTCGTCAAAGTGCTCCAGCTCCAGTGTCTTGCTCAGAGACATGGTGAAAACTGGTTTGGCGGTTTGAAATGAGTCTGTGCTACATACAATTCATCTTCTGATAGTAGTCGATGTCAACTCTTGTTCTGGATTCTGAGATTCAAATTTGGAAAAGCAGACATAGAGTTTGTTGTCCTGAGAAGATGAGCGATGAGGAAAATAAACCACGAAAAATCTTTTCACAGACCTGACGTCTTCTGTAGTTTCAATTATAGGTGGAGTGTCCTCCCAAATGTTGCACCATCACAAATGGTTTATTCCTGCATGAACTTTGAACTTTGATTTCCCTGTTGTCAAAATTGGATGTTGTACCTAAGAAACCACAAGAAGAGGAATTGTGTTGTTAGCTCACAGACCAAAGTCCACGGAGAAAATCAGTGATTTTAGCTCACAGACCAAAGTCCATAGAGAAAATCAGTGATTTTAGCTCACAGACCAAAGTCCATAGAGAAAATCAGTGATTTTAGCTCACAGACCAAAGTCCATAGAGAAAATCAGTGATTTTAGCTCACAGACCAAAGTCCATAGAGAAAAATCAGTGATTTTAGATCAGACCAAAGTCCATAGAGAAAATCAGTGATTTTAGCTCACAGACCAAAGTCCATAGAGAAAATCAGTGATTTTAGCTCACAGACCAAAGTCCATGGAGAAAATCAGTGATTTTAGCTCACAGACCAAAGTCCATGGTGAAAATCAGTGATTTTATATTGATATTTTTGTTATAAAGGAGTCTATGAAATAACCCCCTGAATTTTAGGCACTGCACCTTTGGCCAAATCCTGATGGAAATGATTAAGTGATATGGAAAAAGACGTGTGTCATTCATTTAGGTAGCAGTGAAATAATGACGATGAGCACAGTTCGTATTAAATGAAGCTGTGGATGAAAACGGGAGTTTTCTTTTCTTAATCATTCATTTACACCAATATGGGAGGCACCTTCGTTCTTTTCTGCCTACCTTCTTCCTTCCTTCCTCCCTCTCTTCCTTCCCGTCGCTCT